GCAGAATGTTTCGGGGCTTTCTGCGACTAACATCCCCAGCGCTAATATATATATATAACTTTAAGATACTTTTAATTATAACAATTACTAATTTAAAGTAACAGAAATGTGTTTACAGCAGATAGTACAGAATAAAAATTTTAAAAAAGAATTCTTTCTCATATTATGTGCGATATTCTTGCATTTTGTGGGGGGGGGGAATGTACTAATTATTTCTTCTTTCGAATTTTGTAAATTATTACAAATTAAAATTCGTAAAATCCGTGCAGTAACTCCCAAAAGAAAGATCGACGACAAAATCGCGCGAATGATACTGTATAAAAAAAAAGAGAAACTTAAATAAGTATGTAAAACATGGTGTTCTTTAATGGGAAAAAAATGAAAGGAAGAGCACAGTTTCAAGAACAAACTATCTTTTAAGCTTTCGTGATTTCTGAATTTTGTATTTTATATTATTAATTTGAAATTCTAGCTGAATTCGGACATTACTGATATTTTTTAAAATCTTCAATGAAAATAGAAAAATCACAATTATTTTTTTCTTCTCTGAGGCGCAAGATAGACATCTTTGAAAAAAAATTCCGCAAAAAAAATTTTTTTTTCGAGAAATTACGCAGAAAGAAAATTTTTCTGCAAAAACTCTAAAGCTCTGCGACAATGTCGCCGCAATTATGCTAGAGCGATAATACAATGAATATGTCACTTTAAATACTGTACAAAATTTTAGAGAATGATCAATCAATTCATAATTCAAAAATTCTATGATATGACGCTATTTTGTTAAGAATCTATATTTTTAAACCAAACCACATAGACAAATATTATAAACAAATCAATAACTGTGGAACTATAAAAGTAAATCCTGCAGGAGGTGTTACTAGGTTTGTTAAAAATTATAAATAAGCATATGACCTCTGAATTCATCACCATAAAAAATTTGACGACTTAAAAATTGTTAATTGAAGTTTTTTGACTGAACTGAACTCCCAAAATTTTTTAAGCAATGAATCCTGCGGATAAGACAGTCTGAATATAATTAGAGGACACCCCTTAATTGGGATTGCCGAATCTTACAATTTCTACAGATATTAAAATAAAAAATTGGATCCAAAATTCAAATCTATATGTTAAAAACTCGCCTTTGAAAATAGGATATACTGAACACACACAAGGAATCAAAAATATCAGGACAAAATATTTTTCCATCAGGAATATCGGACAACTATTAATCCAGTCCCTTCCGTGATATAGCATTCTCTTAAAATCTTGAATTATGCCCTAAATAAATATGTATCTAAACATTTTGCACTGGTGAACTCAAAAACTTAACTATTTTGTAATTAACTATTCTGTTATTTCAGTTAAAGGCAAACATAATAAAAAGACAATTCCAAATCCGTGCAGCCACGATCGAGCTCTGGACAATTTTCAGTCTTCCATCAGTACTTGTCAGTACACTTCATACGCATGCTTCTCCTATGAAGGATTTAAGGCTGGACTCTGCAAAGACACTCCATTCACGAACAGGATGGGATTCCATGCTGTCAAACCACCCTTTCAGCTCAATTATTTCTTGGACACCACTAGTAAATCTCCCTACTGTGAACCCAAATAAATCTCTTTCAAATATTAAAGCTCCTAAATTTTATATACTTCTGATTGCAATATAGTTATTAATCCTCATTAAATTATAAAGCTCTAGATTGCATTTTTTTCAGAAATAGTTTTCACATTTTTGACATTAACAAGGTTTTTCGAAGGAAATGGCTCTCTCACAAGGAAAATAAAAAAGCCATAGTTTATATGCCTTACACTTGAAACAAAACCATAATTTTAAACTGTGTGTGCCAATTTACTGTCAAGAATTATCTGGATTTTTGAACAAACAAAAATTAAATATTTCAAAAGTTATTTAACTTCTTTAAAAATCACTAACTAGGCAACATTTTTACACCAAGATGAAAATTATCAAAATCTATGATTTATTCCCTGTTTTTGCAAATTTCTATGAACCTAAGTAATGCAGCATTGGAGTAAAGTTCTAAATATTAGAAAATTAGATCACAAACTCTTTATCTCAAAACTGTGACTTTTTGCCACATTAATGCTTTGCACCTTTTTCAGAGTAAACACAGAGGGCACTGGCTAAAAATAGGCTAAACTTGATCTAACGGTCACGAGTAGATGTTTCAAACTTATATCAGTTATGAAAATAGCATATTATTTGCAAAAAAGCACTCCATGCGACCATGCTTTACAAAAGCAGTTTTAAATTATATGGCTAGGCGTCACAGAGTATACAAATTATATTTGAAATGTTTCACAAATTTTGTTACTCAGTTTGTTAGTAACAAAAGCCAGACGAAAACTTTCATAATTTTAGTGACAAAAGTCTTCTTTTACAAATTATAGATAAAAGTGGAGAAGCGATCTTAAGGTTACTTCATTGTTTGGAATAAAATAAGGTGTCAGAAAGTAAATTTGACAACAAAAAAAAAATCAAGGATGTTATTGTGGACGGGGGTATTTTGACATAGTCAGCACAGTGTCAAAATTGTTGTTATTGCGGCCTGTTATCCAACGAAGTTGGACAAGATCCTTTAGACAGTTAACCCTCAGAAAATCGAGAAGCAGAAAGAAGCATATAAGTCTTTCCTGGAAAGACCTAAGCAGTCCAGGACTTGTTTTGCTGATCTTGACATTTAGAGCAGACTGCAAAAATCCTCTTGCCCTCAAAGAGCGAGAGACGATGAGTTCACTTGTCAGTCTCGCTGTGTTTGTGAGGCTCTGTCAGAAGTTGAAGAGCCCAGCTCCTTACCTGAATACCAGTGGTGACAGGAAGAGGCCTCACACTACTTTGAAATTTCAGATTTAATCTTAGATTGATGCTCTGAGTAGGTAAGAGACGAAGAGAAGAGTGTAGACTGTAGATAAGAGTGTAGAGTGACTGTAAGAGTGTAGAGTTCTGCAGAACTTGACATTTAGAGCATACTGCAAAGATTCTCTTGCCCTCAGAGAGGGAGAGACTTTGTGCATCAAACTACCAATCTTGAAAATGCTGTTCGTGAGGCTCCGTAACAGTCGAGAACAAATGAAGAGCCCAGCTCATACCAGTGGTGACAAAAGGACTCACACTCCTTTAAAATTTCAGATTGATGCTCCGAGTAGGTAAAAGGCGAAAGGAGTGACTACAACTCTCATTGGCAAAGCGATCTGCTTGCCCATTGCCATAAATGCCGACATGAGCTTTGAAACAAGTTTAAAAAGGATGGAAAAGCTAGTTTTATCTCCAACTTTTTTAATCCAGTTATTAAGGTGTCAAAGACAATCTGAAAGAATCAAAAGGTCTCGATGGTCACGCTCGTTCGATGGTCACGATAGTTTCGAGGCCTTGCTTGATTGCAATCAAACAAGGCTTTCAATTGCAATCCATCTTTTAAAGATGGAAGAGAAATTAATGTTACGGAGACAGAGAGGTCAGAAAACTGAAAATTATGAGTTCAAAATAAAATCATTAGAAAAATGTTTTGAAAATTAAATTTAAATAACTTATTATAAAACATAATAAATAAGAGATAAATGTAAAAATCTATAAAAGCCTTTATGTATTTTTAAATGGGAACTCTCAAATATTCTTAACTAATAAGGATTTATATTAAAAGAATGGTTCACTTTGACTTTTTTTACTCAAATAAATATTAGGCAAATTTTATTTCAGTGTATAATTGCAAACCTAATACTTTTATTACAATAACTTTATGCAACTTAAAAAAGTGAGAAAAAAATTACATTTTTGCACAACAATAGCGATATTGCGTTTATAATTATCTAAGCGTTATAATAAGACACTCTTTTTCTTAAAGTTGTACCAAACACAGAAAGTTTAATTTTGTAAATTATTTATACATTTTTATGTGCTTTTCATCATGAAAAAAGAATTTCTACAACACATAAATTGAACAAACAAGCATTAAAATGAAGTCATTTGTCAAACAAACTGTGGAACAAAAATATTTGTTGGACTACATAGTCATCCAGAAATTATTTTAGCAAAACTTAAAAAATAAATTTTGCACAAGACTTTTTAGAAAATAAAAGCTTAATTTTTATAAGAAATAAAAGAAAATTCAATGTTATATATATATCACACAAGAAAATTGAAGCTCTTTTAATAAAAAAAAAGAACTTATTACTAAATAACTTTTATAAAATATATATAAAAGAAGATAAGATAAAGAAATCCAACAGTCTATTAGAAAATGCAAAAGTGCTGGCAAAAATTTAAAGTAAAAAAATAAGAAACAAAAAATTGGTTGTTAGCAATGTACTTAGTTTTCATTTTCAATGAATTATTCTCAAGATCCACAAAGAAAGAGTTCAAAGTGTTATTATTTAGAAAATTTCTTATAAAAGCCAGCATTGCATGGCATTAAAATAAAAACAGAGCAGACAAAATCATAATTAAAAAAATTATTTAAAAATCTAAGAAAAAAAATTATTCAAAATTACTTTTGGCCGAACAAATCATTCTTAATTACACATAAGCTGCATTTAAAGTTTTAAAAGCACTGGTCTGAAACTAAGTGGGTATAGTTGCAATATGTTCAACAAACAAATTAACTAAAATAATAACTGAAATAAATTGAAAAATTCTTCTGTTTTAACTTTAAATAACAATTTACATATATGAAACTCCTAACTAAATATTTATTATTTAACTAAATATTTAAATATTTATTAGTGACACTTTATTATTAATAAAATATTCAAGCAAGCGATGATCTACGCATTTTATTCGAAGAGGGATTTTTTAAGGCAACTTAATCAATTTTAGAGAATTTTTTAAAATGTACAAAAACCAGGAGAAACTGGCAAAATCCAGTCTATTGAAAAATCTAGTACAGTTGGCAGCTATATAAAAGTGATTTAAACTATATCAACCTTGAATAATAAAATAAAAGAGACCAAAAAAAAGTAATAGAAATATAAGTAGAAAAAGCATTTATTTCATTTATAATGCAAGGACAATACCATGTTAGAACCAACTTCTTATATCCAAAATGTAAATTCCAAATTACAATTCATCGTCTTTTATCCAATAAAGTTCATGACAACAAGGTGAAGAACAACATGGCCAAATNATTTAAAGTTTTAAAAGCACTGGTATTTAAATAAACATAAAACTAAGTGGGTATAGTTGCAATATGTTCAACAAACAAATTAACTAAAATCATAACTAAAATAAATTGAAATATATTTCTGTTTTAACTTGAAATTTATTAGTTTTAAATTTTAAATAATAATTTACATATATGAAACTCTTAAGTAAATGAAACCCCTTTAACATTAAAAAAAATTGGGCTTTGGAGGAAAATCACAGTTAATAAAATATATATATACACATAAGAGTATATTATAAAAAAATATTTTCAAATTCATGACATTTTTTTTAAAAAAATAAAAGGATAGCTGCCAAAACGGATAGGGAAAAAATCCAGTAGATTTTACGAAATAACATAAATTTCATGATAATTGTTCCAAAATATGCTAAATATTTTACTCTAAGAGAATGTTAGGGATTTTTATAGTCATCAAAATAGAAAAACAGCAATATTTTCCAGTTATGATTTCACATTAAATAATCTTGGAATGTTATATATTATGTCTAATCCTAATTTTGATTAGTAATAGGCACTTAGTTCATCAAAGCTAGTTAACTGAATTTTATAAATGAGGCTCTCTTTACTATGTATTAGTGACACTTTAATATTAATAAAATATTCAAGCAAGCGATAATCTCCAAAAAAATTTCATTTGAAGAGGTATTTTTTAAGGCAACTTACTCAATTTTAGGGAATTTTCTAAAATGTACAAAAACCAGGAGAAACCGGCAAAATCCAGTCTATTAAAAAATCTAGTACAGTTGGCATTTATGTAAAAGTGATTTAAACTATATCAACCTTGAATAATAAAATAAAAGAGACCAAAAAAAAGTAATAGAAATATAAGTAGAAAAAGCATTTATTTCATATATAATGCAAGGACAATACCATGTTAGAACCAACTTCTTACATCCAAAACGTAAATTCCAAATTACAATTCGTCTTTTATCCAATAAAGTTCATGACAACAAGGTGAAGAACAACATGGCCAAATATGAAATCAGCAAAAGCTCTTTCTGGAGTGATGTTGCCAAAATGACTGCTGTTTTGAGAATTTACTTGCAATCGAAGACAAACTAAAAAAGAAAAATTAACAGCAAAATCAACATACATTGGAAATTAAATAGAATTATTAAACAAGCTGTCATGCTATTATAGGCATTAACAGGGACTGGCGAAATTTGTTAAATCTTGGAAACCAGCATTTATGGCTTTGTTAGCGGCAAAATAAAGAACTAACTCATCATAGTCATACTGGGCTATTTTTCAGAGAACTGGGTCAAATGTGTTATTCACAGTAAAAAAGTTAAACATTCAATTAATAAACCAAATTCAGCTGAAATTTTATGCAAGTAGAGCTGTTAAATTGTAACCACAAAAATTAAATAAGACAGATATATTAAATAAACACTAAAGCAGTAGGTAGTTAATATTTTAATACTTAATGCAACCATTAAACAAAAATGCAAATACATGAACAGTATTTTTGAGTAGGGATGAAATGAATATTTGGCCTTTACTTGGTTCTTTAGTGGAATATTCAGTTGGTCAAATATTTGGCAAATTTTAGGGGGTATTTTAAAAAAGAATAAGCTAAAAACATTTTTTTTATTAGAAATAGGTTTTACAGCTTCTACAACTTGTTAATTTTTGTTCGAAAAGACACATGGAAAAGCAAAATTTGAAACTAGCTTACTTTATACTGTACCATGAGTTTTGTAAAGCTGATTTTTTTTCTTTTCTTAATTATATTCAGTTAAGTAAAATAATAATGAAAATTCTTTTGCAAGATTAAAATCTTTTGGCGACTGTAGTTTGCATGAACAGGTATGGGATATTTCCGTATTGTGATCTGTCATGCAAACTACGATCACCATGGTGCCAAATAGGTTTTAAACTTGCAATTTTTTTTGGAAAGAAAAAAAGGTATATGTTTGCCCAGAGGAGACTAGGAGTTATACCAGTTGAGCTGGTCCCTTTCTGTTATTTTTTTTCTTTTCTTTTTTAGTTTCTTGTGGGCCTGTGAGTCACCAAGATTTGGCGATTATTCTGCCACAGATCTCGATACGGAAATCTCCCAACAGGCACCAACACAAAAATATCCCCTGACTGACATATTTTCATCTCATTGCATTTGCCACACTGTATTACAGAAAAAGTGGACAATGGTTGGAATTGGTGGAATCACAATACAGAAATATTCCCCTCCAATTAATAATTTGTTCTTTTGGAAATTAGAAATATTGCCTGACAAATAGAAATATTTGTCATAAAGCTACATGCGCCTAGGCAGTCGACATGATTTCGTGACTAAAGGACAGTGGTCAACGGTACACTAAAAATTACTTGGGAACCAATACGAAGACTATAACTCATAGTCACCACAGTACAAAATCTGTGAATTTTTTTCTATTTTTTACACGTAGTGTAAAGGCACTAGGACATAGGATGAGATTTTAACTAATATCCGGCACATAGGAACCAATTTTTTTATTTTAAATTCTTTATGATAAAAAATCTCATAGAGTATTTTTATCCAACTAAACTTTATTCGGTACTTACCACCCAATACGAATGATGCAACACATGATATGAAACCTGATAAGAAGGAATTAAATGGGAAAGTGCCAACTAGACAACAGTATCCAAATTGAACGATGCCGGTTAAGAGAATGTAGAAGAGATACGCATCTATAATCTTTATCTTTTGAGGAGTGCTATTTCTGTAATCTTTGAAAAAAGTTGAAAGAACATCGGTTGCGCTAGCCCCCATTGTATCCAATAAAAGTATAAATTACAAATGAAAATTTACATTAACTAGCCAAAGCTATGACTCGTCACGTCAAAACCAAAAGTTTACATCGGCGTAGTTGAAGTTGTAGTTGAGTTGATATAACGTTTCGAGTGACCTATTTCTTTCACTTTCATACTTTATTCAGCTTGCATATACTTTTTCTTTTAATTTTGTATTACAGTTTAAAAATTTTAAATTGGAACATTTTCCATCTATTTTAAATAAAAATTTGTTTAAAATAATGATTGCATATATATATATAGCAATATTTTGTCATTTATTCAAAATATTTTTAGGTTCTTCACTAAGAAGAAATAGATAGGCAGAAACGGTTTGTACTGAGATAATATTTAATGTTAGTAAATACACAGACATTAGTTTACAAAAATTAAAATGTTTATACTAAATAAGTATAATATTAAACCATTTTCTCAGCTGTTGTGCACATTTAAGCAGCATAAATTATATGCTTCGACCAATAACAATAATGTGACTTCAGATTTACACCCTGCGCAGCAACTTTATATGAAGAGGATAGAAAAGGAAAATGCTGAAAGAGTTATGAAATTGAAACGCATACGGAAAAATAATATTATTACTGGTGTATGTTTAGCTGGTGCTGTCTTCGGTATATATTTATATTCAATATTTTCCATCAAACAAGAAAATTTTTTGGATGAAATTGATCAGGAATCTACTTAACAATTTTCTGAAATGTATGTAGATTGCCTTGGATAGCAAAAAATATGTAGATTGTCATTTACGTCTTTGAATTGTAAAAAATGTAAGAATCTATACGTTTTCAACTGGGCAATTATGTTTAGACTTTAAATTGCACACTCTGCCATAATTTGTAATGGAAAGTTGAACATCCTTTTTTCTTTTTGACTTTGTAGTTTGTTAATATTGATGCCACTGTTTTCTTATCAATAAAAGTTGAAAAGTATTTTGTCTGAAATTGTCTCATATTTGAGTGGGTACTAATTGGTCTTTGAATCAATGATCCAAGTTCTTCAACAAATTGAAAGTTAAGTTTCCCGACAAGGGAAACAATACCACAAACAAATAATACAGCTGGTTTACGGAGATATTTCCATTTCGTGATCAGTATTGCAAACTGCCATTCCCAAGGTGCCAAATAGATTTAAATCTATTTGGCATAAAAAAAAGTAGATGTTTGCCTGAGGGGGACTACGAGTTCTACCTTTTGAGTTGGTCCCTTTCTGTGATGTGTGTGTTTTTTTTTTTTTTCATATAGTTTCTCGTGGTCCACTGCCCGGAAGTTTCCAAGAGTTGGAGATTATTCTGCCTCAGATCACCATACGGAAATCTCCCCTGGATTACACATGTTTTACTGCGTATTGAAAATACATATAGGTGGTTATTTTCATATGGGTATCTGTTCACATCAAGACCCCCTAAGGAATTTAAACTTACAACAAATTTTAAAAAATTATTGTTCAAATTGTTCTACTACTGGGTTGTCTTTTTTTTTAGTGTCTAGTAAGACACTCATAAATCGTCAAAACTTGACGTATATACCGATATGGAATCCTTCCAATATAGGTATATCAAATATGACAATGTAGGGATCTTTTTTGACAGTTATAATTTTTAAATACGACAATACAATGGTTATTATCAATAAAATATATAAAAAAATCTGTCTCTGCTATTATGCATAAGAAAATAATTATTGATTACATTATTTTGAATGTAGATAAATTTTATTCTCGTGATGAAAATGTTGACGACTATAATCTATGTATAAATGCGTTAAAATGTGAAAAAAATAATGTGGTATATTATTAAATATCGATATTTCTTACAATATGTCCTATTAAATCTTGTTTCATCAGTTAAAGGGACCAATGTTCGTTACAATAATTTTGTAAAGCAGTCACCTGCGTGTAATCCCAGTAATCCGTAAGTGTGTTTAAGTATTGAATTAAGATTATTTTCTCTTTGATTATTCGCGTTCTTGAAATATAATTATCAATTTCTCATTATTTAATTTTTCCTAGCAAGCCTCGTATGCTACTTAAATTTGTTTGCCAATTCAATTAAACTTTTTTATTTTTTTTATATTTTCCTATTACATGTTGGTTTTGCATGAGATTGAACAAAACCAAAGGATTAATGAAAATGTCAGTCGTACTTGAGTTGAACTTTTCATGTTTAGTTGGATTTATTGTTTGAAATAATTTATAAAATCCGTACAAAATTCTTTAAAAAATTATTTTTTAAGAAAACTTTTAAGGCTTATGATTTTTTTAATGCTCAGAGAAGTTTTATTTTTCACTTAGTTAAATTTTATATTTACAATTGTAATTTAAATATTTTAAAAAATAAATCGTAAGATTACATTGAAAATTATTTCTTTATAAATTGTTTTTCCATTAATTCTTAATAAAGATAAATGATCACCGTGAAATTATTGAAAATGTACAATTTATAGCTACTGAAAAACAAGTTAAAATAAACAAAATTAATTTCTAAATTTTTTTTTCTAAAAAAAAAGCTAGACAAAATGTGATTTTTTATGTTTTAATTGCATATGGAAATATATTTCAATTTCAAATAACTAAACTGATTATTGAAAAAAAATGCCTTTATAAGAAAAAGAAATCTGAATTTATCATTTAACAGCTTTTTTTATGGTCTATTAAAATTATTTCTATTTAAAATTGTTTATGCTTTGAGATTCAGAAATATATTTGCAGTTATAAAATAAATTGTAGTATTGAAAATAGCATTTTAAAATTAAAAATCTGCTAAACGGTAGGACTTTTATCACTCAAAAAGAATATTTTCAATAACTACTTTTTACAGACAAATATTTAATTATTAATATATAATAATAACTATTTTGTTTTTTTAGCATTCTGAAAAATCAAAAGAAAGTTATGAGATTTTCAAATATCATTTCAAAAGGGCTATAATTTATTTCATACCAAGTACTTATATAATTTTGCTAACTGAAACTCAATAACGTAGCAATATTATCTGAAGTAAATTTAATTTTGAAACTGTGAAAATTAGTATGAAATTTAATTTCTCATTCTTGGTTAAATCAACAAAAATTATCATGATTGATTAAATCCTGATTTAAATTAACGAACCCTGTCTAAATATGAGGAATTTTAAATGTCTTTAAACTTGAAAATAAATATACAGTAGGGAACCGATTATCCCGAACGATCGGGACCATCGCTATTCCGGATAACTGATTTTTCCGGTTTTCTGAATCGCTACAAAAAGCCGTTTTTTTTAATATTAAACCCAACTAAAAAAAACTTTTTTTTGGAAGTAATCTTAAAAAGAAGAAAAAACAATGGAGTAATACACTAATGATTATTTCCAAAATTATGGTAAGGTAAACATCTTTCAAAAAAGAACGAAAAATTCTAAAATCTTATGAGGAAAAAAAAATTTTTTTTTTTTAAGAAATGGCGGGAAAATTTATCGAATTTCGTTCCGGTTTTATGATTTCTGGATAACGGGTTCTGTACTGTATATATATTTCTCACCGCTCAAGAATATTGTTAACAGCTGTAGATATTAGATTCTGCTGGTGGGAAATATTTAATTTATAAACTTTGAATGAGATTTGTTACTCACTATCAATTTTAATTGTTTAATGTTAAGGATTCTGCAAAATCTCTCTATCTAATGTATATAAACAAATCTATCAGTATATTTCAAGTTTTTAGAATTTTTAATATGAATAATCAAGTCCCCTAAGATTTTTTACATGAATAACGTTATATATAAGCAGGATTTAATAAAGTGGATTATATTAACAAATCATTAAGCTTGTTCGTAGAGCCATGAATGAAAATTTTCTTTTTATTATGAGATTGCACAGTAAATTTATAAAAGTAGTAATTTTATTTCCTGCGTTTTTTTGTGTATGATTCTCAAATTTTAATTTCTGCTCTTTTATTTATTTATTAAGTTTTATCAGTTAACCGTTTGCAGGCTTAAATTGTTTAAACTAAAATTTTAGTTAAGAGACATAATTCTGATCCTCATATGCATATTTAAAATGAAGCAATCTGCTCTATATGTTTCAAAATTTATAATGTTTGATTATAAACCGTGTAGTTTAAAAGATGAAAATTATTTCAATTTTAGTTATGTATTATTGTCAAAATTAAATGAGACATTTTTATCACAGTGCTCCTGAAATGGTTGAAAGTAATTCTGGCCATGATTACCTGTGTAGTAAATGGTAACTGGTGCATGTTAAATTTGTCGGGTCGCAAAGTTCTCCATGTTCCCACGATAAATTATACCTCTGGGAGATACTGAATTTCTGATTGATAATTCTATGATCAATTTACGAATGGATCTATTGGTATGAAGTGATGGGTTCGGCCCATAAACAGCTGTGGCGTATGGGTGTAGCAGAAGTCGAATTCTTGGCCATAGATGGTGCCACTAGAAAATTAGAACAATCTCTCCCTCTCCAGTTCCTTAATAGCTTACGAGAACAACAACTGTGTGCTATTCGCATGAACGTTCAAACGCAAATACGATTCGTCATGTGCAATCAGTTCATCTCACATGTATACATATAGCAGCAGAATAACTAGAAGCAAAATAACTTTGGTTAATATTTATGAATCTTGGCTAAATAAGAGTTCAAAAGGACCGTTATTTTTCCGATATTAGCTCTATATGGAATTGTCCGATTCACCTCACCCAATATTTTAGAACCACTTAACAACCAATATCGTCCCAACATAGAATTGTCAGTTTTACCCGATATTTTAAATCCATCATTTAGCAAAAATGGGTTCTATATTGTCCTACGTAGGCCATTCCAGGACCAATATTAAAAAATATAAACATCCCATTATTGGTCCCTCAATGCATGTTCATAAGTCCCATATTGTGCCAATTTTGAACCCAGCTGGGGCCATTGTAAAATTGTTGCTACGGTAATTTCAAAACATTCACATGTACGTTTATGACATTAATGAGTCCTAAGAGAGCATTCACATTCTATGCGAGTTTTTCGCGAATAAATGTAATTGACTAATCACAGGTTCTTGCTCGCATCTCTAAATTCGAGTATGAGAATTCTGTTGAACACACAATCAGCTGCAAATTATTTTTAATAGAGAGAAAATTTAAACTGTTTAAAGCCATTCTCACCGCATGCGATTCACGAACCTCCGACTGCTATATGAAGGAAAGAAATCTAATTTGAGAGATTTTTAATCAGATTCTCCTTTTACCTCAATGGTGATCGAAGGCGTACTTTACATGCAGTGAGAAAAGCCCTTTTATGCGACTAATACTACCGCTACTTATTTCTGTTAAACTTAAGTTTTTTGCTTCTAAATTTGTTTTGAATGTTTTACTTTTAAATTTGGCAACAACCTACTTGTTAAAAACGAAACAAATGTTTGTTGTGTTTTGTAAATTTGATTCTAATATGGGTGAATCTAGCTTTTCATTGTTCTTTTAAATTAAACTTTAATTATATTTATAATGATATAATTTCTTTTTATATGTGGCATTTAATCAATTTGCTTAATGTATTTTTTATTTGCTTGCAACTTCAGTTTTTCTCAAGTGTGACTTCATTAATTTTCGTGTCTTTTAAACGATTTGTAATTCTTTAAAACTTGTTTTTATTTAATTTATAATTTTTTCATTCTTAAAAATTTTATTAAAATTCAGCATCATGCATAAATTTGCTTTTAAGCGAACCTAACCAGTGTATTTGAAAATATTCAATAACACAGCAATCGATTTAATTTAAAAATAAATGCACGCTATGTATTATGTATACTACACTATATATTACGCTATGTATTACGTATATATGTTTACTTGAAATGTTTCTTGATGTAATATTTTATTAAAGTTATTTTTAAAGCTTTTTTAAGAAATTTTAATATCTAATTTCCCAAACAATTAGATTTTTTTTTTTTATCAAACTTAGCATTGCTAATTTTTTTTTTTAATTAATCAATAACAAAATTGATAAATACGTGTTTTTTCAACCCCAAAATTGTACTTAGTTGTAGTGTATTTACGAGCAATAGGTGCTTAATAGTACAAAAAAAGAAGTGTTCAGTCAGCTTTTCAGTTTAATCTCTTCTATTATATTTTATGAGACTGATTGCAGTGTCTCCATAATGATGAAAGGCATATTTAAATTCTAACATTAGCTTAAAAAAGAGGTTTATATGCCTCAAGAAGAACTTGAAAAATACAGGGGATTTAAAAATAGCTTAAAAATCTCAGGGAAAATTAAAATTTATTCATAAAACATTGAAAATGAATTTAAAAGCCTGAAAAATTAGAATTATTGGATTTTTGCTCTTCCCTTTTGAATCTCATATTTTTAACAAAGATCTTTACGCACAAAATTATAGATTTTCCAATATGAATTCTTCTCGAAAGACTTTCGAGAAGACTATCAAAAGACTTTCGAAAATTGGCGAATACTTTTTATATTTGGCTAATTTACTGCTGGGTACTCCTCGTAATTTATTAGTTGCTTCCTTTCTACAATTTTTAGCATATTTAACGTGTTATAGTGCTTAAGCAAAAGCAAGCATATATAGTTTATGGTGTAAACTTTATTTTAAAGTTTAAGTCTAAAAAACATCTTTAATCCATCAATTATGGTCTGGATTTGTTCATAATTCACAAAAATTATTCCTCTCTGTGTAATTCATATTTAATGGAAATAGTGATGCATAAAAAAATCAGTGCATTCTTAATTAGAGGTTTAGTGTTAGATTAATGTTTGTATATTTATTTGATTTACCAGAGATCTCCTTAGGAATAAAAAAGGACTGGGTGCTTCTTCTCTGAAAAGGTCACTTTAAATCATTAAAAGTGACCTCGCTTAAAACTCTGTAAAAATGTATCAAAATGTATAATATTATAACTATATTGTATCCTAAAATTTTCAAATTATAATAATTTATGTATTTATTACTTATAATGTTTTATGTATTTATTTCAAATCTCAATTCTCTCTCGTTATTAAAATAAGAGAAAAATTTCTAGTTTGTAAAAATAATTAAAGACATGCTAAAAGGCAATCTCGGTGCATTTTTAAAAAAAAATTATTTCCCTCCATGTAATTCGTATTTAATGGAAATAATAATGCATAAAAAAAATCAGTATATTTGATTTAACTGAGATCTCCCTAGGAATAAAAAAAAGTCTGAAAGGGGAACTTTGTATTTTGAAAAGCCACTCACTTAACACTGTAAAAATTTATCAAACTGTTTAATATTATGTAATAACTAACTTTTATCCTCAAAATTTGTTTCATTAATCTCTTTTAACTAACCACTATTTTATGTGTATATTTCAAAAAGTAATTCTCTCTTATTATCAAAATATGAGAAAAATGTGTAGTTTATAAAGATGATTAAAGGCATGCTAAGAGGCAATCTCTATGCAATTGTTTTTTCAAAAAACGTAAACTAAAGATGATGATTAATTGATAATTAACTTTAAAGCTTTTTTCCATAATTTAAACTAATTATTATAGGAAAATTAACATTCGAAGGTGCATTTCTTTTTTAAAAAAAAGGTATTTAAAAAAATAGTTTTAGAATTTAAAATCTCTCAAGAGATATATTAATATGCCCTTAAGTATAAAACTTTAACCAGTTGAGAATTATCCTAACAAAGCAAGTATTTGTAATAGTAATCAGAATCAAACTTATTAACACGGATAATTTTACCAGTGTGTAATTGTTATTTAGACAGTGAATTATTTTTTCGAAGTGGAATATAAATAAAAAGGCTGTATTTTTAAGGAATGGCAGTTTATTTTTACAAAAAGAGCACATTTATTGCAATTAATGAGCAGGCAGGGCAGACAGAAAGAANAACCAAACAAAAAAAAAAAAAAAAAAAAAGCTTAGGATAACTGGATTTCGATATTTATATATTCAATTTTAAGTTTCTTTATTTATTTTTGTAATATGTATGTTATTTTACTCTTTTTTAGCCAATTTTGCAGTTGATATTATGAGTCAAGTTTAGTAATACTGATATCATGCATCAACAAGATGAAGAGCAGCATATACAACGGTAAAACTATTTTAATTTTAAAATCAAGGAATTTTATGCTTTTTATCATCATTAGATCCTCTAATTTTTTATCATAATATATTTTATGCCTAATTTTGTATCATATTGTATTTTGGTTTATTGTTAAAACATATTGCTATGTTACTATGACGTTTATCGTCACTCAAAATTAGAATCATGTGTAAAAAGCTTGAAATTAGATTTTTGTAAGATCTCAAAGTTCTCAATCAAATAAAACTACTGTGGGAAATCCCCAATGGCAAATAGTAACTTAAATATGGATAATGTAATTAAAATAAACAATTAGGTAAAAATCTTACACTTTTTTTAAAATATTTTTAACTGAAAATTATGAGAAAATAAATATTTAAAGGTACAATTTTAAATAAAAGGTGTTTATTGAAAATAATGATACAATTTAAAATCACTAAAAAATTTACTAATATACCCCCTTTAAATTAAAAATTTGAATATCTCTGCAGCCGAATATTGTGCAAATAATAATTTGACATAATAACTAGACAGCATTAGAAAAATCTTACTAAAATAAATGAATGATGAAAATTAAAGTTAAATAATTTGCAGTAACTAAATAAATCAGAAGTGGACTTTTCATTAAAACAAGTTGTCTTTTTCTGAAAAAATAAAAGGGCAGTGTTTTTAAGGGATGGCAGCTTACTTTTACAAAAAGTTCCAGGAGGATGCATTTATAGGGATCAAAGGGTGGGGCTGCCCTTTTAAAAATGCTTAGGGAGAACACTGTTTGTTCTTCCCTGTTAGTCATGGGTTGGTATTTTATTTTGTTGATCTCGCCTGGGTCGTCTGAAGTTTAGAGGTCTTCTTTAGTTTTCCTCATTCCCACTTGTTTTTGGTCCTGATACTTTTTTGACACTATTTTTTATAGTAATGCGAAGTGAATGAATTTTGTCTGTTTATTAAAATTGCTGTTATTTTACAGGTATGTTAGATTCCAGCATTTAGATGTGCACCCCACACAGAATGCATTAATTATCAATTATGATGTGGACCCTAATATGCTTGCACAACTCAATGACTTTATGTTAAAAGGATCAAGGGATACTCAAAAAGTGTAAGTTTATTTTCTTACTCATTTGCACTATTTTATAATTGTGCTTTATTAATTATTTATTCCATTTTTTAATCACCCTTTTTTACTTTTCATTATTGGTTCTCCAAGGTGCCCGCAGAACAGTAATTAATTAATTAAAATATCCGAACAATAAGGTAAAAAGAAATTTGAGTGTGCGTTCCCTAAAAGTCCAATCTTTTTTTTCGATAAAAGAAAAAAAATTGGCACAAATTTTGAAATACATTTCCTGATGCACAATTTTGGCCTAATTTATATTATAATATAGATATTTATGTGTTTCATATTTCTAAAATTATCTAAAAATTTTATCAATTTAAGGAAAAAAATAACATTTTGTAACAAAAAATTATTTTGACATTTGCTATAAAATTTTGACTATTAAACAAAAATGTGAAGGAAACAGTATTTAATTTTTAAACATTTATGTTAACTGTCAACAATTGTTTTTAATAAGGACTANAGTTTGGTTTTAGAGCCTTATAGATATTTATGTGTCTCATATTTCAAAAATTATCTAAAAATTGTATCAATTTAAGAAAAAAAATAACATTTTGTAACAAAAAATTATTTTGACATTTGCTACAAAATTTTGACTATTAAACAAAAATGTGAAGGAAACAGTATTTAATTTTTAAACATTTATGTTAACTGTCAACAATTGTTTTTAATAAGGACTACTTATAGCCACTCTTACTGTTATCATTTATCAGTTATGTTGTTTTTGTTTCTAGTGCAACTTGCCAGTACCAGCAAACTTGCTTGGTGAAACCAAGTAAATTTAAGGCTGAGGGTGGCACTTTTTGCTTCTTCAGTTGTGTCATCTATGGCTAAGAATAGGACTTCAGCCTCACATATGTCACATCCCGTTTATATTGCGGGCTCATTCATTTATTCACAGATCATAATTTTGACCTGTTATATATCTATTTTGATCAATTAAATATCTTTACTGCTATCTTCTTTCATGTAAAATGTTTTTATAGTTTATTTTTGTGATTTTTTATTTAAAAAAAATTATTCTCAACTTTAGTAGCAAGTAAAAGTGTTTTGCAGTACATTTTATTCATACAAATAAGACAAAACTGAGAAATTAGTTTATAAAATTTGCATCATTAGTTATAAAAAAATCAGGGAAAAGTGAAAACTTTTCTGGGCATTTGTGGCTTCCATTAAAAAACTCTAATTTTCCAAATGTAGAGTTACTATTCAAGGTCTCATAGAATTGAAATCTTTTAAGTAATCTCGAGCAATTTTTTAAATTTATTTTAAAATATTTCATAATTTTTTAAAGAATCTTTTTTATCTGAATCCTTTTTAAAGATTTAATTACAAATTAAAAACTTTATAATTTTATGTAGAGAAGGAATAATAAAATGTATATTTTTTCAGAAAAATTAAAAAACTGCTGTAGTTTAATTTGCTACTTTTCTATTAACCAGGAACAAGTAAATTCAACTTTTTTCTTATTTAAGAGAAAAGGTAACCTCTAAAAATAATAATAAAATAAATAAATTAATTGTTTAATTTACTTGCCCTCAATTTATGAGACAGTATTGTTGATTTTTTTAATGAAGTCAAATTCTGCAAAATTTCAAGTTTGCTAAGTTTGCAATTGTTTTGTTTACTTATGTGATATGTAATTAGCTACACTTTGCTTTTCAATTTTTTGGACAAATTTGTATTGTTCTTGCAATAAATAATGATTAAGTTAGCATCAATTGGATATATGAACAAAATTCATTGCAGCCTAAAAAGGTGTATTTTTTTGCAATTACCTTCTGAAGAAGATTGTGTATCCTTATAAAAATATTTAATTCCTGAAAAGGATTTCAAAATTACTCTTTGTCTTAAAATAAGCATTTCTCAATAAATATTAAAGAATTCATTTCATATATTTTGCAACCCTTCACCTTTTTGTTAAAAGGAAATTGTCTTGTTTTTTTAACTTTATTTTCACAATGTTTCAACATTTTGAAATTAGTTTTTGTAAAATTTGTTTCATTTGCAGCGTCCGCCTTAAAGGTTCATTTGATACTGATGAAATCCAAGCAATAGCTCAAGCAATAATTGACACTTGTCCTCTTGTACCGCCTACAAAATTAACCGAAGTGGAACAACTACTGTATTATTTACACACAAGAAAGGGATCAACTGAAGAAGGTAATTCAAAATAAAATTTTATTCATTTAATTTGTGATCGCTGCATAATAATATTACTGGTCAATATAATTTTTTTTAAATGATTTATTGGTAAAATATATAGCAAAAGTTGAAGTCAAATTGGCTTATAACAAGCATAAAGAGTCAACAACATTTGCTAATAATAATTGATAAGCCATCCTAAGTCAAAATTCTGGATGGTCCAATCAAAAAAATTTGATGGTTTATATTGGTTTTAGTGTGATTTATGATGGTTCAACATAATTTGATGGTTGCCATTATCCAACGTTTTACATTATGCATTCATGGTGTTTGATATGAAAACAAGCTTCCATTGCCGAATGATGGAAAATGTTATTTTAATACTATGATGGTTAACCATCAAAAGAAGTTTGATTCTCATGCACCGACAATCCATGATGATTACACCTTTACATTTCCATGATTTTTTAACAGGAATTCTCATTGGTCCTCAGAGATATACCATCAAAACAATTTTTATTTTTTATTTTATTTATTTATTTTTTTAATGTTGATCCATCATAGATCAGACCGAATTCCTGCATGCGGATAATGGTTGTTCATGATTGTTCCAACATTTCATTTCTAAGATACTATGATGGAAATTCGTAATGGTTCAGCAATGCATTTTCATGATGGTTTAATTCTTGTTAATTTAGCAGGAATATACCATCAAAACAATTTGGTTGTTTTTTTGTTGTTCCATCATAAATCAGTCCGAATTCTAAAATTGGGGTGATGGTGGTTCATGATTGTTCGAACATTTAATTTCTAATGGTTCAACATGCACAAACCATCAAAACAAGCTGTTATTCTTATGTTGGACCATCATAAATCAGTCCAAATTCCTATATTGGAGTGATGGTTACCATCAAAAAATATAATGGTTCATGGTGGAATTATTGATGGTTACCATCAAGATTATGTTGGTCCATCAATTAAAAACCATCAAAAATTTTGACTTAGGATGTCAACTAATTCATGAAAATGGTAAAAGTGCACATGTGCTTGCTACATTATAAATATAGTGCTTACTCAAGTTACTTTTTATTTCTTCATAGTACAAGAAAAGATTTAAATCAAGTTGATCTAAATTAAAAAAAGATCTGATTAAAAGATCTAAATTTGCTTTAAATTAAGTTGAACAGAAGGTTGTTCAACTTTTATCTTCCTCAGTTACAAAATATTGTTTGCTAAAACTGTTTTTTTCTTTATTTAAAAGTGACCTATGCTCCAATAGTCTTAATATTGTACCAATCAAGTATTTCTGATTTCTTTGTGAAAACCAGGAAATCATAAAATTAGGGCTTGTTATAAATAAGTTTGACTGTAATTATAATATTCACTGGTGAATCTGTTTTTTGTTAGGGTTTGTTTGAAGAAGCAAAACGATTATTTATTTTTTCTGGTATTACTTTTTAAGCATATTTTGTTTTGCAAGACTTTTTCTTAGTGATTGAGGCATAAAAAAATTAGATAATAACTTCCATTCACACTTTAAAAACTGTAAGGTCAAGTGGGCGCTATTTACTTAATATTTTTGTTGCCTTTACGATATTATTTAAAGTAAAATGGCAGAAATAGCAAATTTTTTTGAAAAAAAAGTGCATAATATTTCAAATAACTATGTTTTGAATGAACTAAAAAAAGGACATGCATTTATAGAATATTCCATTAGTATTTCCCATCATGCTTTTCAAACCAAAATGAGATAACTAGATTGATAATAAAAAAATATGCTTTCATACTAGCAAATATATATTCAGAAAAGAATTAAAAATAATTAAAGCAAATGGAAACAATACTTCCAGTGGAAAAACACGCTAAGCAGCTGAGAATTCAAAAGAATTGAAGCAAATGAAAAAATGAATAAATATGACAACCGAAGCTGACGTCCTCAGGGGGTACCAGCTCCGGAAGCCATAAAAGCAAAACTTTTTCTATCGAGAGAGCATGACAAATGTCTAAATTGCTCTCTGTACCCCAAAGGTTTTGCCAAAGTTCAGGAAGAGAATACAATATAAAATACATAAAAAATACAGAAGTATAAAATCAAGACAAATACATAAGAATAATACGCACAAAAGCTTACTTGAAACATAGATTTAATATCCAAATTACACTACTAACCGTCAGACAGCAACTAAATTGAAATGAACATAGAAACAACTCCCCCTAATTTGCACAGAAGGAAGAAAAAAAGCGAGAAAATAGTGACACCATTAATAGAAATGATTGACCAGGGCAACTCGGTCAAGACTTGATCTTGCCCTTTTAAACGAAAAAACAAAACTAGTAATTCTCATTCATTTTCTTAATTTTAAAATCAATATTACAAAAATTAAAAGGAAAACCAATAATGGTTTTCCTTTTTTAGCCAATAAGGGCTCCCAAGTTTTATTAGGGTCAGGTGAGCCATGAAAATTAATTCTTTAATTTATTAAATATTTTAATGTATTAAATATTTTTTGCACTTATTTTATTTAAACATAATCGAGCATACATTTTTTTAAGAGCATTTTTATTTCTAAAACATTATTTACATATGTTTTTTAATGAAACATATACTAATTTTAGAACTGTATCCAGTTTACCACACTCTGGGATAAAGTGGGTATATCAAAACATGTTCTTTTGAATGCATTACTGTAAGAAGACAATAAAACGAAATAGATAAGTTATGCTTCATATTTAATATATATGAATCAATGTATATAAAATGCATCAACATTTTCTGTAAAATGAATTTGATAGTTGGTTTTAGAGCCTTATTTAAAAAAAGCTTGAATTTATATCCACTTTATCCCATCTGGCCTATTTAATAATTATGTATTAATTAATTTTCATTTAAATATTAATATTTTCTGATCTATACTTTTGATATAAAAATGCCACAGTTTCTCTTTGCATGGAAAATAGCTTGGACCTTGGAAGTAAATTTGAAAGTAAAAGTTAAATTTTTATGGGTGTGTTTTCCATTATTATTATCTCTTCTGTTTTAGTAAATACGGAAGATGTTGAAACAAACTCATCTGACTCAGATTTAATCCCTTCTGATGAAGAATCGGCAAGCGTCACCAATGTAGACAGTTATATTGAACTTCTTTATGAAGAGATACCAGAGAAAATTAGAGCATCTGCTTTAGTACTGCAGTTAGCACGAGAAACTGGAAATTTAAATGTATTACGTAAAAATGGTATGTCTGGCAGTAAAAATTATCTTTTCTTTTAAGTTTTATATATATATATATTGGGTAAATAATTTTATAATATATATGCAGCACATTAAAGACAAAAAGAGTAAAAAAAAGGAAAACTAAGAAAATTAATAAATTTTATTTACTGCTCATAAGCTGCAAGTATATAGAACTATTAAAATATGTTAAAAATAAAAGGAAAACATGGAAAATAATAAAAATTAATGAGAAGAGAAAAAAAATTATTAAAATTAAATATTTTTAAATTTTTGTAGAATTTAAAAATATTTTATTTAATTTTGTAAAATTTCAAAATATTTTTGCCAAAGCAAAATGTGCTTTGGCTGTATTGATATAATATTAGAAAGCTCTCCTTTTTGCGGGTGTAATCGTGTGAGCTGATCTTATATCTTTTCATTATTTTGTTTTCTGGCTTTTTAAATAAATAAATAAATAAAAATGTAATTTTTTTTTCTTCTCTTTTTAATAATCTTTGTTATTTTCCATGTTTTCTCTCTATTTTTAACTTAATATATGATAGTCAATACAATAAATCTAATAAGTGTTAACAAATTCAGATTAAAGTAATAAATATGTGAGGTTTCATCACAAATTAACAATCATTATTAACAGTTTGATAATTACTAATAATTGGTTAATAGGATAAATTCTCACAAATTGTTCCTTTTTACTAGCTTATTTTGTTATTATAACTAATTTCTGATTATTATAAAATATCCAATTAGCTTAAGTTTGGAAATGTTAAAGTGAATGAAATGTTGGGCAATGGGCCTTGATCTAAATAATGGACATTAGTATAGAGAATACCAGGCAATATGGTTAAATTTGCATTTTTATTTGCATCAGAAGACTTGTTATTAACTATAATTGCTAGTTATTTATAATATTTTCCCAGTAGGGATGTGCATCCATTTTTAGGTATATGCTTGCTTGGAATTCTTTATACTGATAACTTTTTTAGGTTTTTGCTCAGTATTGCCTACATCAATACATTTTTGAGGTTTTTGCTCAGGGTCCTATATTTTTTTCTCTGATGATTTTTTAAGTGTGTCATTGCCTGTTATTCCCTACTCTGATAGTTTTTCTAATCTATTTTTAATAGATAGTAACATTAATTACCATCACCATGAATGGCTCGAGAGCCCAGGGTGGGCCTTTTTAAGTTCCACCCTGGGGTGCGAAAGAGTTGCCTGCCTTTTTCCTGCCAGCGTTTTCCTGTTTTTAAGAACAAAAAGCCTTTTTCTAGGCCATCTGTCTATCTCAAATTTGACCTGCCTCTTTTTAGTGTGCCAACTGGTTTGGCATCAAAAACTCTTTTTGTGGTTCGGTCTTCATCCATTCTGATGACTTGGCCTACCCATTTTATTCCTTGTCGTTTAATGAAGTTAATAATGTCAGGAAATTAGTTAGAATGTTATTAAGTTAATACTGTGAAGTTGTAAAAAAGACATTAATTACTAGCTAATTAATTCAATTGGTTTCTTTTTTTTAAGATTACGGTTCAAGTTTATTTCTTACATTGTTTTTCCCCCAATTATAATTTATAACCTAATTAGATATAATTAATATATTTCAATAATAACTGATTAAAATGGTTAAGGTCTGTAATTTGTGCCAGTTCAGTGAAATAACTTTTGTTTAGTGTCTACGATAAGAAAAATTCAAAGGGATAAAAAATATATTTTCAGGTAAGTTGTTTGTAACTTTAAATAATTTTATACTGATTATAATCAAAGATGTGTTGCTCTAAAGACTATATTGTTGTTAAGGGCTATTTTGTTACAACCAATCTCTTTTTACGATAGACAGACATGTGATATTATTTGTGTGCAACTATGTTGTTAAGTTTATTTGATCTTAATAAACGAGATATTTCTTCTAGAAATCCTTCTTGGTGCTCTTGCTCGAGTTTTACGAGAAGATGGACGTAAATCGATTGAACTCAGTACCAATATAGTTCACGTGTTTTGCTGCTTTTCAGTTTTTTCCCAATTCCATCCCCTCCTTGCTCAGCATAAGGTAAATATGAATTGAATGAACTAATTATTTAAGAAATGTTAATAAATATTTGTTCTGAGAAAGAAAAAAATGATTTATGAATAGAAATGTTTTTAAGTATATTCATAATTTATAAGAAAAATTAAGTCATAAAGAAAAATATTATCATAAAGCAATTTTTTATTGCTTTTGTGAAATAAGTATTGTATAATATTTAAATTATCTTTCATATTTGTATGATTTGAGTTTTGTAGCAGACTAAAATGTGTATTCTCTTTCTAAAAAGATTTTTTTCTTTCTCCATAAACTTCTAGCTACATAATCTGAAAATGTTTTAATAGTTGTAAACTTCAAAAAGTTAAATATTAAAATTGTTTTGAAGCTTCAGTTTACTCTTGTATTAATGCTTGAAATCAAATCACAATAATGCATATAGTGACTATAGAAAAAAGTTATTGACACCTTTCTTTTATTTTATTTTTGATAAATTAATCACTTTCTTCTAAGTTTTCTCAAACTTCTTACCTTCTAAGCACACATTGTTTAGAGTGTTAGCCATTCTAGTGTAATTCAATGAACTTAATAATTGAAAGATTACATTTGAGACTTTTATCCTTAAAAAATACTAAATGTAATTTTTAAATCTGTTTTAAGTTTTTATTATGAAGTGTGTTTTATTTGACAAATGTTTTGCACTTTGAATAGGTTGGCTCTTTGTGCATTGATGTTGTAGATGGGGAACTGAAACGATATGAACAGTGGAGTGAGGAAATTGCAAAGAAGAAAGTTTTGAATATCCTTTAGATTTATATAAAATATCAATTTTTTTCTTGAAACAAAAAATTGTATGAAAGATTTAATTTTAATAATGGGAATATTTATCCTCATAAGATAAAGAAAGACGAATATTTATATGGTGAACTAAGGAAATATTTTTGTTTTTTCTTGTGACTTTAATTTTTAAAAAATCTTGATCTTTTGATTTCAGATTTTAAGAAAAAATATTTTATTACCATATTTTCCAAACAGATTGCCATTTATTCTTAGATCATTTCAATGAATAAAAAATTGAGATACCAGTCTTTTGTTTATTTATTTTTTGATGGAAAAAAAAGACTTGTTCCAGAAATGGGAGCAATTGTCCCAAATGGGTTTAAAAGAAGTATATTGCATTCTTGGAAGAAATTCTAAATTTATCCCCGAAAACATTTAATGCATGATTTTTAATGGATAATCATAATAATTTGATATTAAACAAAATAATTTTGTTGTTGTTACTGTTATTTATATTGGTGTTCTTACTGCTATTTATTACTAGGTTCTTTTATGCTATGTTTAGTGAAAAATTGTAAGGTTTTAAACTTTTTTTCACTCTTATGACAGTTTGAAACAAACAGCACTATTTCAAAATCTGCTACCAATAATAACTTATAAAATTGTACAGAACATCTGAAATCTTAATTCCAATACAGTTATCACAGCATCTAGTTTATTTTTGAAATAGAATATTTACTGTGTTTAAAGGGTTTTCCTTGTGTAGTTCCCCCTTTTAAATAACCTATTTTTTTCACTTTTTAAAAGACTACATATTAAAAAATAATTGATTAAACTATCGGATACTCAAGTGAGAGACTGGGAATAATGTGAATAAAAAGAGATCGTACTTTTCACCCTGAATGTCAAGAACCAATAGACCAAATTAAATGGAAGATCATTAGATTTATATGAATGCAATTGTCATATTAAAAATGTGCTTTTATTAAGAATTTTTTTATTCAAATATTAAGTAAATTTTTATTGACATGTTTCTCCTAACAGTCACCATTATTTTAGTTTTTTGGAAAGCGTTTTAAGGTTACTGGTGACTCTGGAAACACTCTGTAGCATGTCAGATATGCCAGAAATCCTAGAGGAGAAGCAAAAAAAGTTATGATGCATCTTCTAAGACACCTAATTCTCCTGTGCAGAAAAAAAATGGTGTACCAGCAGATTTATGTTGACAAAATTCAAACGAAACTTTAAATATATATAAAAGAAGTTTATTTTCTTCTGTCATTAATAGCTAAAGGAGAAAATTATAATAATTCTGAAAATAAAATTCATCATTGATACAGGTGTTTGACCAGCCTTAATTATATGCCTTAATATTTCAAATATAAATCTTCTTTATTTGAATTTTTTTGTTTTGTCTATGAATATTATTATAAATGTGAATATTAATAAACGAATAAAAAAATCTGATATTTTAAGTAGGGAACCAGATTTAATAAAAAGGGATCCTGAAATATGGAAGTTCAGGGTCCTCAAGACCCATTTACATTATTACAACCATGTAAATTAAAAGTTATTACTTGCTTTTTTTTTTATTAAAAATACACTTCCTGAAAAAATTTGTCTAAACAATATTTCTTAGTCAACAGATTGTAAGAACTATGATTTAAAAAAAATATCCAGAAAATAATAATTTTTTTTTTTTTACCAGATTGTGAACCCCATTAAAAGTCAAATCATATCTTTTTAATGTTTATGTTAGAAAACAAATGCATTTGATAGGCACTTTTAAAATAATAACATGTCTCTTGAAGTACTTGTCTAAATATATGTTTATTCTTAAAAAGTGATTCATTTGGTTTTATTTTTATTGACGAGAAAAAGTCTTTGTCTCTATCCTTAACTTTATGCAATAGATTCAGGAAAATCAAGTCCAGCAATGATGGCTGACTACGAAAAAAGTTTCCAGAAGTATCTCACCTTAGTAAAAAAACAAAACCAACTTCTTCGAGGTAGTATTTTTACTTAACTTTAATTATTATTTGTTTATAAAAAAGTCATATGTATTTTGTTTTTAATAGCTTATTTAATTTATCCCAATTAATTTCTGATGATAAAATCACATACAAAAAATTCAACTAAGGATAATCTGTAGTTAAGAAACTTGCAGGCTCATATTAAAAGTTTTTGTTCACAAGTTTCGAAAATTGAACTTGTCTTAGTGCAAATCATTAAATACATTTGCTCCAACTGCTATGGTATTTCTGTAGTTTATGCCATTTTCTGTCCTAGCAGTTACAAAGGTAATGTCTTTGTATTTTTATAAATTAGATTTAATTCTCTTCAGATTCTTAATAAACTGTTTAAACAGACTTATTAAAAGTTGAACAAATAGTTATGTTAAGTACTGATAAAAGTTTTATAAGAGCTTTTTTTATTTTAAAAACTTCGTTGGATTACTACCAGGGGAAAAATAATTTTCAAAAGCTTCAAATATTGGAGGTTATGTAAAAATTCTAGCATGAAATTTTATTTAGCTTTACACTTAGTTTTTAAAAAATTGTAACATTTCTAAACTAAACTTTATTTTAATTATCTAAAAACCGTTACCTCATTTAGCATTTAAATGATCATTTGTGGGTACTCGCTTGAGCACTTGTGTGTTGATCATTTGTGAGTTATAAATGGCAGTATGAAATTTCAAGGTAAACATTCTAAATAATATTAAAAGCATTCTTTCAAGCAAATTATATTATTTTCGTGTTTTTGAATGGGGCACAGATTTAAACAAATATTTATACACTGCCACTGAGTAAAGTTTCTTTGAAAGTAGAAATTATATGAGCTAAATTCTTTCTTCCATTTTCTAGTCTGCTTTCTACTTCTCAGTCACATTGCGGAAGATAGAAAAGTTGAGAACAAAATGGTAAATCGTGGAATTGTTGGACTCTTGTCTAAAAGTTTAAGCAGAGAATTACCTGAATTACTAATACTTGTTGTTACATTCCTTATGAAGTTATCTATCTACATTGAAAATAAAGAAGAAATGGTAAACACACTTAATACATTTTTCATTTAAATCATAAAATAATATTGCACCTTATTAATTTTCCTTTCAGATATTAAAGTATTACATTTTACTAATTTTATTTCAATGTATTAAAATCAAATAAATATAGGCTAATAAATTGTTCTGCTTTTGTTTACAGAAAGAAAATTTATATAAAACTCTGGTGTTTTTGTTTACTTCACTGTTACTTTACACACTTTTTACTACCTACTTATAGCTTTTTATTTTTCTATGCTAATAATAAAATTTTCTCCGTATTATTTCCTAAAAAGGAAGTGAAATCTAAAGAAGATATTTGCTGTCACTTTTTACTTTTTATCAATCAAAACATTATTTTACTACTTATTAATCAAAACATTATAATTCAGGATCAAACTGTATTCTCCTTCAAAGTGTGCAAGTGATTCTTTTTAAAACTATTATTTTATTTCAGGAATTCAACTGTATTGTTGAACAGGTCGCTCATCTTATCCCTCATGAAAATTCAGAATTACTGAGTGCTGTCCTTAAATTATTGTTAAATTTGTCTTTCTCAATAGAGTCTAGAAATTCAATGGTCAAGTGTGGATTATTGCAGAAGCTTGTCACTTTAATGTGTAAGTTCTACCTTTACTTCTTTTAACATTCTATTCTCTATGCAGTAGCATTAAATAGTTCCAAACTTTTAAATTTTCTTTCTTTCTGACATTTAATCACACCTCTCTTAAATCTCTTAGATCTCTTTAAATAGTTTATAGAGCAGACCCATTCATAAATCCATTCATTCATCCGCAAATCCTAATTTTAACTTGAACCTGAGAACGATCAATTTCCAATTCATTACCTCCAGAGGTATAATTTGTTGTGAGAACATGGAGGACTTTGTGACCTGGCAGATTTAACGTACACCAGTCACCATTTACTTCACTGTGAGTCCTCGGCCAGCTTGATTCGACCTCCCATTCTCTGGAATGTGAGTTCAGTGCTCTGCCAACCAGGCTTTCCCGGCCTAAACAGGGTTCTGTCTAGGTTTTCCTGACAGGTACCTATTTTGTGAAAATTTAGACGTAATTTGTGAAAAATTAAAAATTATATTAAGAAATCAACACAAAAATATGGATTTATCGTTTCTTAAGGGATACAAAAATGAAATTTTAAGAAAAAGTATTTTGTGAAACTACCGTTTTTCCTAAAATTGAATTTGTGAAACTACCGTTTTTCCTTAAGTTGAACTTGTGAAGGTACCGCTAAACGGTAGTAAATTCGGCCTGGACAGATCCCTGCTAAATAAGTCCATTAATTTTAAACCAATTTTACAACAAGTACAAACAATAAACATTATCGTTCTCAATAAATGTAATGCTAGTGTGTATTCTGTAATATTGTAATTTCAATGCTAGTGTGTAACTAATTATTATTCAATATCACAACAACTGAGCATCAAACTCTCTGTTTAACCTTTCTTTCTTCAACCTCATTAAAAGTTAGCATATTGCGTTTACTTTAATTTTCAATGAACTTCTTAGCCTTAAATTTTAAGCCAAATTATTTAAACATTATGAGATATCATAAAGTTGGTTGAATTGTCTCTACTTTTGGCAGAGTCCTTTTTGGATAATGTGCCTATAATGGATCTCCTCTGTATTCAAAAAGTGTTGATTAATTACTTACTTTTGATTGAGCAGACTGTCTTTATTCATATTACATGCAAAATTTATAATATTATTTGAAATGTCGCTTGGATAACAATTTTTTTTAATATTTTGCACCTTGATGTCTGCTATGAAATAAATTTTTGATCCTGTTTTCATCATCTGCTTCAATCAGACATTAATTTTTTCGATTTCTGCCCTAATTAACAAAAATCCATCTACTTGTCATCTACACCAACTGCTGCACACATCCACCAAAACACTCCACTTAACATTCAATACTCCAGAGTGTGTAGCGTTTTTAAAAAGTGCTTAAAGGTGTTTATTTTTTTATTTATGGTTTTTTAAAAGCCCTTAAAAGTGCTTTTTTTTATTCGGGTTTGTAAAAAGTGCTTAATTTTCTATCTTTGAAAATGAGAATTTTTCTTTGCTGCATCGATTGTCATCATAAATTACAGAAAAAAAAGTTTCATTTTCATAATTTTCTCTGCAGTATTTATCAGAAGCTAGTTATTTTATCATGATTATGTAAGGTCTTTGAAAATGTTTTTGCATTTTGTTGATTTTATGTTCGTAAATTGAGAACTTTAAACAATAGAAGGAAATAGTTTTTACTGCATATATCCTAATTATGTTTTTTTTGGACTGTTCGATACCAATTGATTGATTTCTATGCTGGTTCGTTTGATAACAAATGAAATGGACTGTATTAAAGATTTTTATTATGATTGGTGCTACGAGCACGCTCATGCTATAAGATCAACAACTAATTTTCAACTGATTAGGGTTACAACAAACGGTGGCGAGGATGCTGAGACAAAGATGCCAAGTTGGCGCTATATTTCTGAGATATTGAACATCCACCCGCCGTTGAATTATATTCAATAAACATACAAATTAGCATAACAATGGTACATAAACATATTCCAATATAAAATTTACAAAGATTGAATAAATGCTGTAGGTACACATAATGAGAAAATTAACACACATCTTTTTTAATTGTCCAATGGCAAAATACACAATTTATTAATGCTACGTTTAACAATTCCCTTGCTCGTTTTAATCTCCGCTACTCTAACCTTTCCATCCGTTCCAGGAAATAGTTTTAAAATTCGTCCCAAGANTTTTTTTTTTTTTTTTTTTTTTTTTTTTTTTTTTTTTTTTTTTTTTTTTTTTTTTTTTTTTTTTTTTTTTTTTTTTTTTTTTTTTGGTAGGGGAAAAAAAGACTTGTTCCAGAAATGGGAACAATTGTCCCAAATGGGTTTAAAAGAAGTATATGTGTTCTATCCTCTACATTCGTGGAAGAAATTTTAAACTTATTTACGGGAACATTTAATGGATGATTTTTAATTGATGCTCGTAATAATTTGATATTAAAAAAATATGTTGTTGTTACTGTTAATTATATTGGTGTTCTTACTACTATTTATTATAGTTTTTTTTCTGCTATGTTTAGAGAAGAACTAAGGCTTTAAACTTTTTTTTTCACTCGAACGACAGTTTGAAACAAGCAGCACTATTTCAAAATCTGCTACCAATGACTTAAAAGTTGTACAGAACAGTTGAAATTTTATTTCTGATAGAGTCAACCCAGCATCTATCTAGTTAATTTATTCTATAGAATATTTACTTTGTATTGATTTTTAATTGCAAAAATGTAGGCTGAAATTTGTTTTGCATAATGCAATTTTACTGTGTATAAAGGGTTTTCCTTGTGTAGCTCCCCCTTTAAAATAACCCATTTTTTTCACTTTTTAAAAGACAACATATTAAAGAATAAATGATTAAACTATCAGATACCCAAGTGAAAGGCTGGGAATAATGTGTTGCATTTAATATGGATAAAAAGGAGAAATCGTACTTTTCACCCTGACTGTCAAGATTCAATAGAGCAAATTAAATGGAAGATCATTAGGTTTATATAAATATATGCAATTGTCATATTAAAAATTTGCTTTTATTAATAATTTTTTTTATTCAAATATTAGGTAAATTTTTATTGACATGCTTCTCCTAACTGTCACCATTATTATAGTTTTTTGGAAAACGTTTTTAGGTTACTGGTGACTCTGCTTACACTCTGTAGCACATCAAATATACCAGAAATCCCAGAGATGAACCAAAAATTTTTTTATGATGAATCTTCTGGGACACCTAACTTTCTTGTACAGTTGAAAAAGAAAGACGCGCCAGCAGATTTATTTTGACAAAATTAAAATTAAACTCTAAATATATATTAAGGAAGTTTATTTTCTTTTGTTATTAATAGCTAAAGGAGAAAATTATAATAATTATGAGTATCAAATTACATCATTGTTTTTCATTGATGCAGGTATTTGACCAGTCCTAATTATATGCCTTAATATTTCAAATATGTCTTCTTTATTTGAATTTTTTGTTTTGTCTATAAATAATATTATGAATGTGAACATTAATAAATGGATAAAAAATATAATATTTTAAATAGAGACCCAAATTTAGTAAAAAGGGACCTGGAAATATGGAAGTTCAGGATCCTGAGGACCCATTTACGTTATTACAACCATGTAAATTAAAAGTTATTACTAACTTTTTTGCTTAAAAATACTCTTCCTGAAAAAATTTTTTTGTCTAAACAAAATTTCTTAGTCAGCAAATTATAAGGAAACTATTTTTATTGTCGAGAAAAAGTTTCTTTTGTCTCTAACTCATGTTCACTCATATTTATCCTTAACTTTATGCAATAGATTCAGGAAAATCAAGTCCAGCAATGATGGCTGACTATGAAAAAAGTTTCCAGAAGTATCTCACTTTAGTAAAAAAACAAAACCAACTTCTTCGAGGTAGCTTTAATTATTTTTTGTTTATAAAAAGTCAGATCTGTTTTGTTTTAATAGCTTGTTTAATTTATCCCTATAAGTTTCCGATGATAAAATCGCACACGAAAAATTCTGTAGTTAAGAAACTCGCTGGCTTATATTAAAAGTTTTTGTTCACGAGTTTCTAAAATTGAACTTGTCATAGTGCAAATCATTAAATACATCTGCTCCAACTGCTATGGTATTTCTGTAGTTTATGACATTTTCTATCCTAGCAACAAAGGTAATGTCTTTGTATTTTTATAAATTAAATTTAACATATTAAACAGACATATTAAAAGTTGAACAAATAGTTATGTTAAGTTCTGCTGAAAGTTTTATAAGAGCTTTTTTGTTTTGTTTTAAAAACTTCTTTGGATTACTACCAGGGGAAAAATAATTTTCAAAAGCTTCAAATATTGGAGGTTATGTAAAAATTCAAGCATGAAATTTTATTAAGCTTTACACATAGCTTTTAAAAAATAGTAACATTTTCAAACTGAACTTTATTTTAATTATCAAAAAAGAGTTACTTCATTTAGCATTTAGTTGATCATTTGTGTGTACTCATTTGAGCATTTGTGTTTTGATCATTTGTCATACCTTTGTCATTCATCATTTGTGTGTTGTAAATGGCAGTATGAAGTTCCTAAAGGTAAACTTTCTAACAAAATTTTACAAGCATTCTTTCAAGCAAATTATATTATTTTCTTGTTTTTGAATGAGACACAGATTTAAATGAATATTTATACACTGCCGCTGAGTAAAGTTTCTTTAAAAGTTAAAATTATAGGAGATAAATTCTTTCTTCCTTTTTTTTAGTCTGCTTTCTACTTCTCAGTCACATTGCGGAAGACAGAAAAGTTGAGAACAAAATGGTAAATCGCGGAATTGTTGGACTCTTGTCTAAAAGTTTAAGCAGAGAATTACCTGAATTGCTAATACTTGTTGTTACATTCCTTATGAAGTTGTCTATCTACATTGAAAATAAAGAAGAAATGGTAAACACACTTTATATATTCTTCATTTAAATTATAAATTAATATTGCACCTTATTAATTTTCCTTTCAGATATTGAAATATTACATTTTACTAATTTTATTTCAATGTATTAAAATCAAATAAATGTAGGCAAATACATTGTTCTGCTTTTGTTTACAGAAAGAAAATTGATCTAAAACTCATGTGCTTTTGTTTACTTCCCTGTTACAATACACTTTTTACGACCAACTTACAGCTTTTTATTTTTCTATGTTAATAATAAAATTTTCTCTGTGTTATTTCTTAAAAAGGAAGTGAAGTCTACAGAAATTATTTGCTGTCACTTTTTACTTTTTATCAATCAAAACATTATTTTACCATTTATTAATCAAAACATTATAATGGAGGGTCAAACTGTATTCTCCTTTGAAGTGTGCAAGTGATTCTTTTTAAAAAATATTATTTTATTTCAGGAATTCAACTGTATTGTTGAACAGGTCGCTCATCTTGTTCCTCATGAAAATTCAGAACTACTGAGTGCTGTTCTTAAATTATTGTTAAATTTGTCTTTCTCAATAGAATCTAGAAATTCAATGGTCAAGTGTGGATTATTGCAGAAACTTGTCACTTTAATGTGTAAGTTCTACCTTTACTTCATTTAACATTCTATTCTCTATGTAGTAGCATTACATATTTCCAAGCTTTTAAATTTTCTTTATTTCATACATTTAATCACACCTTATTCCTCTTTAAATAGTTTATAGTGCGGACCCATTCATACATCCATTCATTCATCCACAAATCCTAATTTTAACTTGAACCCGAGAATGATCAATCTCCAATTCATTACCTCCAGAGGTATAATTTGTTATGAGAACACGGAGGACTTTGTGACCTGGCAGATTTAACTTGCACCGGTCATCATATACTTCACTGTGATTCCTTGGCCAGCTGGACTCGATCTCCAGTTCTCTGGAGTGTGAGTCCAGTGCTCTGCCAACCAGGTTTTCCCGGCCTAAATAAATCAATTATTTTTAAATCAGTTTTACAACAAGTGCAAACAATAAACATTACTATTCTCAATAAACGTAACGGCTAAGTTTTGATTTCAATGCTAGTGTGTAACTAATTATTATTCAATGTCACAACTGAGCATTGAAATCTCTATTTAACCCTTCTTTCTTCAACCTCATTTAAAAGTTAGCATATATGTCATTGCGTTTACTTTAATTTTCAAAGAACTTTTTAGCCTTACATTTTAAGCCAAATTATTTAAACATTATGAGATATCATAAAGTTGGTTGGATTGTCTCTACTTTTGGCAGTGTTCTTTTTCAATAATGTACCTATAACGGATCTCCTCTGTACTCAAAAAGTGTTGATTAATTACTTACATTTGTTTGAGCATATTATATGCTAAATTTATGTCTTTATTTATATTATATGCTAAATTTATGATATTATTTGAAATGTCGCTTGAATAACATTTTTTTTTATTTTGCACCTTGATGTCTGCTATAAAATAAATTTTTAATCCTGTTTTCCTCACCTGCTTCAATTAGACATTAATTATTTTAATTTCTGCCCTAATTAACAAAAATCCATCTACTTTTGTCATCTGTGCCAACTGCGGCACACATCCACTAAAACACTACACTTCAATACATCTGGCTGCGTATTGTTTTTTAAAAGTGCTTAAAGTTGTTTATTTATTTTTTATTTATGTTTTTTAAAAGCCCTTAAAAGTGCTTTTTTTATTGGGGTTTGTAAAAAGTGCTTAATTTTCTATATTTGAAAATGAGAATGTTTCTTTGCTGCGTCGATCGTCATCGTAAATTACAAAAAAAAAGCTTCATTTTCATAATTTTCTCTGCAGTATTTATCAGAAACTAGTTATTTTATCATGATTATGTAAATTCGTTGAAAATGTTTTTGCATTTTGTTGATTTTATGTTTATAAATTAAGAACTGTAATCAATAGAAAGAAATAGTTTTTATCACTGCACATATCCTAATTATGATTTTTTTTGGACAGTCATTAAAAATATTTTTGAGCGCTTAAGTGCTTATTTTTTGCTGAAAAATCTGGCTGTTCTCCAATTAACATTCACTGCAACTGAGTGGATTATTTTTTTAATCTTTTCTCCTGCCTCCAATTAACGGAATGAATAATAATTTGTCATTGAATGAAAACTTGTTGTTTTGGATTAAAATCTAAATTAAAACCTTTTATATTAAAGGATGTTTTTAAGCAACTCTCAAAATGTGCTTTTACATAGAACATTTTGTTGCGATTTTATTAGCATTTGTATAAATAGCATAATAGGTTTTATTTTTTAATTCCTGTAATAATTATAATCAGTTTATTGATTTTATTTTTAATCTAGCTGTGAAGGCTCACCTTAATGAAGTTTTAGGCATCCTGTATCACATTAGCTTTGATGATCGGTGTAAATCTCTATTTACATACACTGACTGTATTCCATTAGTAAGTATCATGATAGTGTTAGATATTGTTTCAATTTATTAAATAGTTTGAACGACGTTTTTAGTTTTTCAGAAAAAAGCCCTAACCCACTTTGATTTTTTAGGGTTTAATGTGTTGTACCACAGTTTACTGTTTGTTTTTCAAAAATTTTTTAAAAAACTTCAGCTTATTTTTTGAGTTTTTTACTTTTTTTGAGATTTTTTTCCTTCAAAGTTGAATTTGGGGTAATTTATGGGTTGTTGAAAGTTATTAAGTTTTTTTTTCAAGATTATGTTTGATATATTTTTAGGACCCATTTTTTATAGTTTTTTTTATGCAAGATTAATTTTATTACATTTTTAAAACTAATGACATTTTTCATTTTATTTTTCTTTGAAGAAAAAGATATAGGGTAAAGTATTAAGGATAAAGGCTATAACTATATAGATTTAAAAGGAAGTGAAGGTCTTGCCAGCAAGCTAAGATAAATATTGGAAAAGTAAGCTAAGAAAGCTATGAAGGAATTTCATAAATATATTTTGCCTGAAATAGTCAAAAATCAATAGTAAGCATTAAATCTGGGTTGTAATTACTGAGTCTCTGGATTACTAAAAAGAAATTTGTTTTCAAATGAAAAGTTTCTTTTTTGTCCTAAATAATTAGGCTTAAATCAGTGTAACTCTGCCTTGAATCATTTCACTCATAGGCTATGAATTGAAAATGTACTTGATTTTATGTTTGATTTATTTATTTACAGAAAATGTAGTGTAGTTTAAAGAAATGATCTTAAATATTTATTAAAATAAAGATAGGTGCTAAATTTGATACTTGACGTTTCAATTTTTGAAAATGTTACAATGTTTTCTATAATCTGCAAAACTGGTTAAGGCGAAGTCTATTTAAAGAATGATTAAAATTTACATGAATTTCTATAAGATTTTCATGTTATTATGACATTACTTTATTATTTATGACAGAACTTTACTATATTGGTGTTTTTAAAGATTTTAAAATTTTAAAAAAAATTATTTTTAATAAATTATATCGTAAGTCACTTTTTAATTACAACTCATTAAACAAAGATATTTAATTAATATTTTTTCAATATTTTCTGATGAAACTTGCTGCATATACCAAGATTAATATTATTTTTTAATATTTGGATGTTATAGTTTTTTATCGCTTAAAGTGTGGCATCATAGAAAAATATTTCACGTATTTAAACAGTATTTCAGGAACTTATGCTTTTAAATTAATTAATATTTTCATTGACAGTTCATAATATTATAGTATTAATATTTAATGGTTAAGAATGTTTTTTGTTTTCGTTATTCAGCGTGTTAGATTTTAATTTTATTTCATTTTCTTTTTCACTTTTAAAAGATTGTATTTTGAATCTGTTAAGTTCATGTTGCTTTTAACGTATGGTTTCCGAAATAAGTAAACATATTTTTACAATACTTTTCACCTTATCTTTTTAAAAGTTGATAATATTTTTTTTTAAATCTTTCAGTGTATTAGTATTTAATATTTCAGAGTGTATTTTTCTAATTTTGAGTTAGCTTATTAAATCTAAATATTTTTAGTCCTAAAAATTTTAATATTATTGTTATTTTCTACTAATTAAAAGTCAATTCTAAAACTATTCTATAGGTAAAATTTTCTTTATCGTGAGTAAAATATTTTCTTCAAAGAATATTTTATGATATTATACATTAAATAAACTATGAATTTCTGGTGTACTTTATAACTTTCTATCAAACATGTGAACAATTGAAAAATGACCTGAGAAACATGAATCGCCATGAGAAATGGTGCGATATTAATTAAATTTATTATATAATTTTGTATTTAAGTTTATACTATATAATTTTACTTTATACTATATAATTTTACTTCATACTATATAATTTTTATTTAAATACTATACTATATAAGTCTATTTAATTTTATTTTTGTAAATTATGTAAATTAAATCACTTATTATTCACAAAATTAAAAAGAAGTGAATTAAAGTGTTGATGAATTGTTTGACTTAGTGTAATCATATATTCTAATTTTTTATGATACTTTTTTTCTCTCTCATTGGTGTGGAATGTAAGCATTTTAAAAGCTTTAAAAAAATTTGAATTAACCTTTTTTTGCAGACTATGAAAATGATTGTTGAACATTCTGACACTGTATTACCGAAGTACTTGATAGCATTGGCTGTTAACTTGGCTGCAAACAAGCGTAACGCTCAACTGATGTGTGAAAATGATGGATTGAGACGCTTAGTGGAGAGGGCTTTTCATTATCAAGATTGTCTGCTCCTAAAGATGATTAGAAATATATCCCAACATGATGGCCCTACCAAAATATTATTTGTGGTAATTATATGGTGATTTTAATATTGTTATCATATGACAAATCTCACATTTTTGGAGTTTTATTAGTAGCAGAGCTGGCAAAAAAACATGATTTTTTTATAATACATGAAAAAAAATCTTTTTTTTTTCAATTTTAGAATTTAATTTTATTTAAATCTTTTTTTTTTTAATTTTTAAATCAGATTTTTATTTTATTTATATCATATCTTTTTTTTTCGTCATATATCAATCAAGGCTCTGATAACATTTATTAATTATGCTCAATACAATTTAAGAACAATATTATAACGAAAACATTTTATCTTTTTAACTGAAATGATTAAAACAATTATATAAATATACAGAATCGTGTACACAATACGTTATAAAATGAAATCGGTTTTTTATTTTTTTATTTATGCTTAATATAAGGACTCAATTTGTAGCATCAAGCAAAGAATAAATAACTTAGATTAGGAAACACAAAAAAGGAGAAAAAATCAATTAATTTAAATTACTCTAGGTAGTGCAAGTCTTTATTATTTGTATATATTTAATACATTTTAAAAATAATTATACTTAAATAAATAAGCATAAAATTAAATGGTTATGATTAAAATCTATTTATTTAATAGCAAATTATTTTGCATTCAGCTAATGGAAAGTTATATTATTAAAAAGCATCTCCTGAAGAAATGAAGCTATATTTAGGGTTTTTATACCATTATTTTAAGCATTAAATAATAATTTACGTGCATAACCTGGTATAATATCTTAAATATCATTGAAAGTAGACTTTTAAAGAAAATGACAACTTTAAGAATAAATACATATAAATGAATCGAAACAAAAAATTATTTTTAACTTGAATGAATTATTCTTTTTCTAAAATAAAAATCAGTTGATGTAAATAAATGTTTTTTTATTAAAAAAAATTGTCAAGTGATTTGAGGGGAAAGTGCTTTCGTCAATGTTAACATTCATCTATTAAAAGGCACACCTGAATAACGGTTTGTTATTTGAGTCGTGTAATATGAAGGATTAAATGAGATTTTATCTATTGATTAACACACATTTTAACACACATTATACTAATGGCATATTTTCTTGTGCTTTGTTGGAACTTACATAGATTATGTACATGATCAATTTTTATACTTTTTGAACAGTTTTAATATGTTTTACATGATATATAATGTGATATAATTTAATATGGTATAATTTTACTATGTCATAACATAATTTTTTTAATACGTATAATTTTAATATGATATATTGTAATTTCAATATGTTTAAACATTAAAATTTACCTGCATATTAATCTCTTTCAAGATCAGGTAATTGGTGAAATGAATAATTTTCCGTACAAAAGAAATTTCTTAAAGAAGCGCAATTAATTTTACTCAGAAGTTATTGTAGTTTCTAATGTGTGAGTTCAACCTTAAAAAATGGCTTTTTTGAATTTTTTAAAATTTCTATTTACTACGCTAAGATTTTTATTTGTAAAATTTTTTGACATTCATCATAAAAACTGACTCCTTCACTATAACTTATGTATAACAGATAAAATATATCGTTTGAAAAATCTAATATGTCACATGATATAATGCTTTTTTTTTACCAAGTGCTGAAAAGAAAATCTAGTTTTATTCCTACTTTTTTTTCTCTCTAATTATAAAGTAGTTATTGGTATTTCTTCTTATTAACAATGAAATTGAAAACATTTAAAATCTTTACAATTTAGCTTCTCTTGAAATCATTGTATTTAAGAATTATTTTCGAAATGTTTGCATACTTATCAAGACAATATTTCAATCTTTTATATATATATATATATATATAATGAAATTGAAATTTAATACAGCATTTGTTCACGCAAATACACTTACACAAAAATTCATGAGAAATTAAATTTTAAAAGAATCAAGACATTTTTGTGATCCACTTTTTAATTGTCTTGTATTCGAACTGATTTGAATATATTTCAAATATTATTAATATTTAGATTTTTCTATAGGTGTATTTGTATCATGTTTTAGTTTTTGAAATCTAATTTATTTTGCTATTTTAAAAGTCAGGTTATGGTATTAAAAGCTGTTTTCTGATGTATATTATAAAATTTTGATTTTGTTCTGAAAGAAAATCAAAATAATTGTTGAAGTCTTATATGTTGTGAAACTAAAATATTAATTGTTAGTTTTTTTAATCTGCCATAAAATGTTTTTCAGGCATTTGCTGACTTATTTTGTGAAGCTATTCATCGAAGTACGGGTAAAAATGATGATTTTGTGCTTGAATGTGTGGGGATCATGGGTAATTTGACGATACCTGAATTAGATTATGAGATGTTACTCTTCCAGTACGATTTGTTGGGTTTTATGAAGAAGAAACTCTCACAAGGTTTGTCTTTTTTTTCTTCCTACTGTTATGTTTAAAAATGCTTTTTAATTTATAGTCATTTCCTTATTTATGAGATGTAATTGTGATTTGCTTTCACAGTTTTAATTCACATCTTAAAAATATTTTAAAAAACTGCTTAATTTCTAAAAGAAAATAAAACTTGGCAAATGTAAAGAGTTAGAACCTAATCTCTAACCTCTGTATTCACTGCTGACACTAACTCAATGTGAAACACCTAGTTCCAAAAACCCCGTTTGTAAATATTGACCATGAGTCAAAAAGTAATTTCTTCATTATTTTTTGACCATCTGTTTCTGAACTACGCATTATTGGACCCAATAAAATAAATATTAAAAATGCTATTTATTATCCTCTGCTATTTTTCTGTTATTATCTTCATATCTAAATATTGCTCATTATGTTGCTTGTTCATTTATATAAACTATTTTTTATTTATTGGATAAGATCTATCATTTCGCTAACTAACTTATATTAATCATTTAATAAATTATATTCTTTGTTTTTAAATTTTATATTTATTTCAAGCATTGATTGATTGCCAATTTTCTTTTTTTTCTCTTTGTTTAAATAAGTAAATAAATAAAAGTTGGAGTCTTATTTCTTAAAATTAAAATTGGAAAATGCATATAAAAAAAACTTTTCTAATATGTAATTGTGGTCACACTTTGTATTATCCATGTTTTGTTTTTTTCCTGAGGGAGAAATTATTTAAGTGCAACAACAACTGCTAATAGTAATTAAAGGTAAAAAAAAGATATTAATTCTGGAAAATTCTTATTTTAATTTTATTAAATAGCATTTATGTGATATAAATTAATTATAGTTACATCTATTGATGAATTGACCTCATTGAATATAAAACAAAAGCAACCGAAAATTAAAAGCGGTTTTTTGAAATTGTAAATTAATAAAAATTCTCATACTGGGCATTCATGGTTATGCTAACCGGAGACATATTCAGGTTAAAGTTAATTAACTTTGAGCCCAATTGAAATGCAGTTACATACATGGTGGATTGAAATGTTTGAATCTAATATGGTGTTACTCTTATAAAACCTGTTTGAAATGCAACTCAGGGTTAGTTTCTATCGTGAATTCGAGTGTAAGTGTTTCTGATGTGCGGTTTAATTTACTATTTGTATTTCACAAAAGAAAATATCAGTTGACCTCATGTATATAGTATTCAGGAAACTTTGGTGGCTCAGGGGATAGAGCGTTAACCTTCTGATGACGTGAACCAGGTTCGAATCCCAGAGATGACTGATCGATACAAATTCTACACCCGGCTTGCACCGACCACTGTGCTGAAGTAAAAATATCCTCAGTGGTAGACGGATCATGGGTTATAGTCCCCTTGCCGTCAGGCTAACTGTGAGAGGTTCTCATGGGGTTCCTTTCCATGTAATTCAAATGCGGGTTAGTTCCATCAAAAAGTTCTCCACGAAGGCAAAACTTCTCCCAATACTTGATCCAGGAGTTCCCTTGTCTTCTGGATTGGGTTCGAAATTACAAGGCTATGTAGTTGCACAGAGGTAGTCGTAAATCCAAAATTGGATCTTCTGTTCAATGATGGCTATAAAATAAATATGGTATTCCGGATACTCTCTTCAATTCTCTTCTGTTGGAGAAGTATGTGAACATTTCTTGGGGATCCTAGTTCCAATTTTGAACAAAAAATGGAATGTTTTTTGCTGTAATTTTTAAAAATTAATATTGTTGAGAGCTTTAACTAAAATTAATAATAATGTAAGCAACAATAAACATTCAATTTTCTGCAGAAATAAGGACACATGAAACAATGGGAAGTTAATACAAAGTAGTCACAGGACAGGAAAAAGTTTAGAAATTTTATCAATCTGCAAAATTCTGGAAATTGAACTGAAAAACCCAAAATACCAAAGGAATTGAATTAATTTGAGTTTAAGGTACCTTAAAGTTCAATATATTTTTACAAAACAAATTGGTTAACAATTTTTTTTTGTTTAAAAAAAATTCTTATTTACTAACTTTAATGGGAAGCATAACTGTTTTGTTATATATTATATGTATATGAATAAGTCATATATTGATAATATTTCTCGTACATAGCACTTTATGCAGTGATGTATTAATTAGCTTATATTCAATTCAGATGTTGTAAAATTAATCTCAATTTTTTTTTGTTATTAAATATTTTCTGGTATAAAGTGTGTGAAAAATAATTGAACTAATTCAGCTGCTTAAGAATGAATTTCGAATCCCAGTTAGATGTGACAAAGGGGGGTGACATTCTTGGGGTTCAAGTATTCATTATTATTCGTATGTGCATTTGTTTTCTTTAATTTTTGTTGAAAATGTGAGTTTCATTGTTTATTAACTGGATTAGTAAAATTTTACAAACGCTCTCTATAACAGTAAAATTTTATACCAAGAAAATTTTACCTTAATGTTACAACGTCTGAATCCCTTTGAAATAACTGGGATAACACTGCACAAAGTGCCATCTTTGAGAAATATTATCAGCAGCATTATTAATAAATTAATAATAAAATTTTTCACCCTGAATTGCGAAAATCATGGATATTCCATAAAATCAGTCTGGAAAAATCAAGGAATATTTTATTCTGAATATTTGTTGCCATCTTGTCATATTTTAATAAGTTTTTGAAAATTGAGATTTGGTGAACTATGATCTTAACTCCTGGCTTTTCAAAAAACTTACAAACTAAGAAAATCCAAATACAAGTTTAGGGACAAAAAAATTTTTTTTTAATAAATTGTGTGCCCAATTAATGAAAATTTTTGTTACATTATTAATTTTTCTAACATAGAAAGGATATGAAGTGGTCAAAAAAGAAGGGATATCACTGCTGCGCATCCCAAACTGATGATCGCCTCTTGATGAGATGACGGGGGATATTAGAGTTTTATTTGAAAAGCAAAAATGAATTAAAATGTTTTCTTATTAAACAACTCAACACTAAAAATAGTTTTTCTGAAGATAAACAAATGGATAATTTCAGGAAACTGTGAAGACGATATGATTCTGGAAGTTATCATTCTAGCTGGAACATTTTCAGCTGAGGAAGTTTGTGCAACTACCCTTCTTGAATCAGGCATGATAAAACATGTTATTGAACACTTAAATGGTAAGTTTAACAAACTGTGTCTCTATAAGTTTAATATTAAGTAAATTTTATTTGCTGTAGTTGTAGTTTACATTATTCATTAAAATTTGCTGACATTGTCAACTATTCAGTTGTTTGTTCTTCTAAGTTGGCTTGATAGAAATTTTCAATCTTTTGGAAATTTGGAATGAAAGTTTATGTGTTCAAAAATAAATAGTAAACTTTCTGTGAAAAAATTGATTTTATTGTTACTAAGCGTTATTTGATAATGTTTTAAAACATTTTTGTCTCGTATTGCAGCTAAAATAATGTTTTAAAACATTTTTGTCTTCTAATGCAGCTAAAATGTTTTTAAAGCAGTTTTGTCTCGTATTGCAGCTAAAATAATATTTTGAAACATTTTTGTCTCTTATTGCAGCCAAAATAATGTTTTAGAACATTTTTGTCTCCTAATACAGCTAAAATAATGTTTTAAAACATTTGTCCCCTATTGTGGCTAAAATAATATTTTAAAACATTTTGGTCTCCTATTGCAGCTAAAATAATGCTTTAAAACATTTTTGTCTTCCAATGCAGCTAAAATATTTTAAAGAAGTTTTATCTCGTATTGCAGCTAAAATAGTATTTTAAAACATTTTTGTCTCTTATTGCAGCTAAAATAATGTTTTAAAACATTTTTGTCTCCTAATGCAGCTAAAATGATGTTTTAAAACATTTGTCCCCTATTGTGGCTGAAATAATATTTTAAAACATTTTAGTTTCCTATTGCAGCTAAAATAATGTTTCAAAACATTTTTGTCTCCTATTGCAGCTAAACAAGAAGATGATGAAATTGTGCTGCATATTGTTTATTTATTCTACCAACTTATATACCACAGAGCTACGAGAGAAGTCATTATTAAAGATACTCGTATCCTTCACTATTTCAGTTTATAAGTCATTTACATAAACAAGTTTATCCCCTCATTTGTAAAGTTATATTACTCAATCTTTTTTTAGAAGAAGCATGAAACTTATTGTAAATGCCATACTTATTTTATGGGCCATATTTTCTGATTACCCAATACACTTAAATACTTATCTGGAATGCATTTTGTTTTAAATTTTATTCTTAGTATTGTAATCATGTTTTCAATAACAGCTTTATCAAAATCAGGATTTCATAAATAAGTTCATGTAATATTACACAAATTTATAATACGAAAAATGGTGTTTGTATTGTTTCTTGTTTTTAGATTCTTTAAATTTATTTAAAATTAAAAAAAAGTGTCATGTTTTTGTCTTTATTGAATACATTTTAAAGTAAATAATCAGGGTGGCCACCCACTTGGAAAACCTGGAATTATCAGGGAATTTTTTTATACTGGAAAAAACCTGGAAAAGTCAGGGAAATTTAGATAAAAACCTGGAAAAATCAGGGAATTTTAAAGAAAAGCTGGAACTTTTTTATAGATCTTCTTAATTTAAATTATTTTATGATCCGTTATACTGACTTTTTTTTAAAACGAAAAATTATTGCCAAACAGTTGAAATATCAACTTAGCTATATTTTGCATGCATCAAATTTACTCCATTAATCTCTGTTAAACTAGAATGCCACATAAAACCCATGATTGCTAAATGAATGGAGAAACCTTTTTGGAGACAGTTTAGGAAAGGCAAAGATTGTGGTGGAGGTTGAAGAAAGAGTTAAAATATTTACTTCTGTTTATAAAAGTAGCATTTGTTTCACTTCTAAACCGTGGGTTGAATCCATTTATCGTTTGTTCCGATGCTTTAAGTTTTTTCCTTTCTTCTAATAATATAGCTAAGTTTTGATTAATTTTCAAAAATGACTAAACTTATTTATATATATAAAAAAATGTATATTAATGATTTTTTTTAGAAAGAAAAATGCTACTACTTGGCCACCTAATATTTGGTATTCAGACGATTTGTTTGGCCGACTATTCAGTATTCAGCAACTCTGCCAAATCACTATTCATTACATCCCTAATGAAAATATATTATACAATACTAATCAAAGTTTTTTTTTTAGTCTCTCTGTATTTGCCATTCGGTGCACTTTGTGCAGAAATTGCATTCACATTAAACTTTTTTAATTCAATCAAAACAATATATTTTACATGCTAAACTTATTATTTTCTCTACATCCAACTTAATTTAACCACATTCAACTTGTACCAAAACGTTAAAAATTTTAAAAAAAGGTAAAAGACAAAATCATGCTAAAAATAAATGTACTTCAATTATTTTTTTAATATGATGTATTAAAAAAATATCATTTTAAATAAAATACTTTAAAATTTTTGTACTTTTGTTGTATCCATCTTATACTTTATGAAAAAAAAGAACACATTAACCTGGAAATTTTAAGATTTTTACCTGGAAAACCTGGAAAAATCAGGGAAATTTAAAACCTGATTTGAGTGGCCACCCTGATAATATTTTTATAAGATATATTTTAACATCAATGCATTGTTTATCTTCTAAAAGGATTAAGAATATAAAGGTAATCGATTAATAATTGTTTAAACGGGCTGTAATGGATATTTAAGTGGCCTTGACTGTTGAAGCAATTTCTTTAAAATACTTCAGAAATTTGCATGCCTCTTACAGGTCTCTACTCTTTATCCTAACCCTAGTGAATCATATACCAATATTAAGTATATATACACTCAAGAGCCAAAACATTATGACCACCCCTACATTTTGCAATGAATTCTTCTGGATGACGTGGAAGGCACGTGATCAGGTGGAAGTGGTATTTAACTGTTGCTGGAGTGTTTGAAGAATCATTCTTTCGCTTACTTTTGTTTGTGATGGGAAAGGCTGCGGATCTAAGCGACTTTGATAGAGGGCAGATTGTAATGACTCGAAGGCTCGAAACAAGTATTTCCGAAACTGCACGACTCGTGAGTTGTTTGCGATCTATAGTTGTTAGTACTTATGCAAAGTGGATGAATGACGGTGAAACCAGCAGTAGATGACATGGTGTTGGACGTCCACACTCTATCAAAGAAAAAGGTCGTCGGAGATTGTCTCGCTTGGTGAAGCAAAACCGGAATCTGACAGTGTCTCAACTGGCAGCCCAATACAATGCAGGGTCAAGTAGAATGGTATCAGAGCACACAGTTCAGTGGTCACTGTTGGATATGGGGCTACTCAGCAAAGGTCCCATTCATATGCCTTTGCTGACCAAGCGTCATCGCCAAAAACGCCTGCACAGGGCCCGGGAACATCAGGACTGGTTCATGGATCAGTGGGAGAGAGTTGCCTGGTCAGATGAATCATAGTTTGTCATTCATCACGCCGATGGCCGTGTCAGGATATGCCGTCTTCCAGGCTAACAGTTGCTCCTGCAATGTACAGTATGTCATACACAGGCCTTTGGTGGCAGTATTATGCTTGGGGGGACGTTCTCTTGGACGTCTCTGGGATCCGTGGTTGTGGTAGAGCAGATCATAAATGCTACAGTGTATCTGAACATCATTGCGGACCAGTTGCACCCTTGCATGGTCTCTGTTTTTCCAGCTGGAAATGGAATTTTCCAACAGGACAAAGCCCCGTGTCACAAGGCTCAAATTGTGTTGGAGTGGTTCCAGGAACATGATGTTGAATTCCAGTTAATGTCCTGGCCACCTAACTCACCGGATCTGAATCCGATAGAACACATTTGAGATGTCATGGAACAGCAGCTCAGAGTTCAAAGACCACTAAGTTGCAATATCTCGGATTTGAGTGACTGTTACTTAAACATCTGCATCTGGTACAATCTGTCTCCGGCCATCTACCAAGGACTTGTGGCATCCATGCTAAAGCGGATTGCAGCTGTGTTGCGGGCTAAAGGTGGGCCAACTCGTTATTAAGAGGTGGTCATAATGTTTTGGCTCTTGAGTGTGTATATATATAAAATAAATTTTTTAATGACTTTTTAAACATATCTTTCAAATCTTAAAATCATGTACTACACAACTTAATTCAAGATTTGAAATATGTTTACCTCAAATTTAATTATATGCAAACCCCTTAAATGAAAGATGCAATTCTTATATAAAATTTAAAATCTGGAGCATTTGTTTTAAATTTAACATTCTCTTTTGTTTTTCTTTTATCTGCTCTTTTCCTAGAAAATGTGTACCTGGCTATTCAATAAACTATTTATTCTCCTTATCAAGTGTCTCAGAAATTCCGGGATATTTGCTTGATTTGATGCATGATAAAAATACTGAAATCAGGAAACTTTGTGATAGAAGCCTGGAAATAATATCGGTAAGTTACTTGCTATTACGACCATTTATAAAAGATGTTCGCTCCCCGATTGGCTCCATGTATCAAGTGACAAGATATGGGCTTAAGCCAATAATTTTATCTTAAAAAGCTTGTAGTAGGGGCAGTTCATCACAATTTTGACAGCAAGAACTATAATCAGAATTCAGAATATAATTTTGTTAAATGAAGATACAAAAATGGTTAAGGACACTGTTTCTATGTGACAGCTTGTTTTAAGTATAATTAGTCTGAATTTTGATAAAATGTACTTGAAAGCTCATGAAAGTTGGGAATTTTTTTTTCTATAATTGATTTATAACCTAGTCAAGGAGTTAAAAGAAAATTGCAAGCTATACAATTGCTGTTATTGTTTTTATAAAAGAAAAATATAATGCCATAAATTACTTTATGCCATGAATGTTTTCTACAAATTCAAATTATTATTTATACAAATTATATAAATAATCAAACTATCAAATAACTTGAACCGGCTTATTAATATTTTAAAATTCTATGATTTATTATTATTTAACTTCAAAAATTCCTAGATTTTGGAATCATTCAATTTTGTTGCAGTTTAGATTGTTATGAGTATTATATTTGTGTGCAAATTGAATATTTAAGGCATGTTGAATCTTTTTTTTTAAATTGTAAACGTATGACTGTGAAACTGAAATTACTATTTTTAAACAGCAACAACATCTTCATCTCTAGCTAAATGTATTTGCCTTGAACATGGATTATAATTGAAGAACTTTGAGTTGATGATATTTTAGTGAATTTAGGTTAATGAGTTTTATAAAGTTTATATGTTGACAATGAGAATGGGAGAAAATGCATTGTCTTAGTTTTCTTTCATAAGTTTTCAATTGTTTAGAAATAATTTTTTAAATAATTGAGAGATTGAAGAGTCAAGCTTTGAGTATTTCAGTATACTCACCACCAGTTTTTTTTTAATTTTTTTAAAAAGTTTTTCAAGGACAATTTCTATGTTTACCACCTGTGTATTCTAATATATTTTGACATAATTTCACTGCTTAGGTATACTTTCTGTAGATAACAGTATAGAGAAATAGTCTGAACTAGGTGCCTCCAAAATATGAAAAAAGAAAGCTGATTTTCATATTATAAGTCCTCTTTTCTGTTTTAGAAATGATGAGAAAAATGTACCTATACTCAGAGGTCAAAATATATTGAAACAGTAATAATTTATATAACTAAATGTAAGGTCCCAATTATAGATTTATAGAATTCAAACTAATAAGTAAACAAATTAAATTGACATGAGGTTGTCTTATGTTTAGCATAAAAGAAAATATTCTTTTAGGTTAGTAAGGGTGATATGGTTTAAGCAATTAAAAAATATGCTATAATTAACTTCAAAAATTTAAATTTAACTCACTTTTCCATCTGTTGCAGAATGATTCAGTGGTGAATGGGTGCATTAATAAAGAAACCATATTTAATAACAACAAATTTATTAATAAAAACAATCAAAAAATATGATAAGAAATGGGGCTCTCCAATGAGCCATCCAATTTAATCCATTGCCTGCCACATAAGTGATTACAGAATTATTGTGAGTGATTACAACATCCTCTTCTGGTCAGGCAGAAATTAGTAACACCATCTTTCTTATGCCTTATTTGTTGAAATATATTTCTATTTTAGAGAAAAGATTTAACAATCATCATTTTCATGAAGTCAAGTAGTCTAAATATTAAAAAAATGATTACCACAAATTTTTTTTTAAAGAAATCTAAAAGTAACACTTATTCATCCCACTTTCTGGATGTTTTGTAAATGCATGATGTATTGGTTTTTAGTGAAAAGGCAGGTTTTCTAAAGTTACTTTTCAACTGAATGCATTTGAATTATTGATCTACTCCATAAATACTGAGAGACTACCCCTTGAATCGCTCACCCCTGAGATCTGCCTGATGACCTTGAATTTTACCTTTTTACCTATTTTGTAAATTTTTTGAAATTTGTAACAGTACTGGGTGACAACAGATGAAGGAAAAGTCTGAGAGTTACATAAAAATGCAAAAAAATCAAGAAAATTTTTATAAAAATTAAAAAATCAGATAATCTAATAAAAGTATAAGTTTGGGAAAAAAGAATTGATTTAAGTTTGATACATCTAAGTGACCATTATTTTTACCAAAAAAAAATGGTTTTGATGTAATTTTTTTTAAAAATAATCATATCAATCAATATCAATCAATCAAATCATCATCAATCATATCAATCAAATAATCATATCAATCATAAGTGTTTTTTTAAATATATTTTATTTAAAAGAACACAATTTTATTAAATAGAAACATTTGAAACAAATTGATGAGTGAGACTGGGTGGTCAACTGTTATCATTAAATCTCGTACAATCTGGTCTTAATGACAGCATAGCATATTCAACTTTATTAAACATTACCGACCTCCATCTATCAGCATAAAATGCTATTATTTGCATTTCCATACACTAAAACTGATACTAATGTTAACACATATTTTAATTAATAGGAGTATAATGAAGAGTGGGCCAAGAAGATCCAAATTGAGAAATTCCGTTGGCATAATTGCCAGTGGCTTGAAATGATTGAGTCCCAGCAATTAGATGAGGCTGATTTCTATGGGGAAGATTCTTACACCCCAAGGATTCAGGACTTTCTCAATCCGTCAGATTTACTTTATGGAAGTGGTATGAAGTCATTATTGCTATTTTTTTTAAGAAACTAAGTTTGTTTAAGGTTTTGTCATATGAAATGATGCTTTTTAACAAACTATGTGCCATTTTTATAACTGTTATGAGTTCCTAACAGTTATGTGTGACTTTTAGGCTGCTTTTCCATTATATGACATGTTGATAACATAAAGGACCTGATTGTTGTCTGATTATACCGGGTCTAGTATTCTGGTCTTTTCTGTCTTTTTAGAACATGTAATTTAGTTTTTTAAAAATCCATAATATTTTTACACATAATATTTTTTATCCATGATGTGTTAAAATGTGTTTTAAATATATTATAAGTAAAAAATTATTGTTTGCAAGCTTTTCTTTTATAAACTACAACAAAAGTTATCACTGGTAAACTTTTTTATTTAGCATTTTAAATTTAACAATTATTCGCTTTTTATAAAAATAGATGGCTTTGCTATTTTTTTCTAAATAAAGAACCATAAATTTGAACTTGAACTAAGAATTTTATATGTCTACTGAAAATTCATTTAAAATATATTTTTTATCAACTTCAAATTTTTTTTCCTTTTTTCAAAGTGTATTTTTCTCAAATAAATTTTTTTTTTTTTGGTTCACACATCTAATTGCCAACACAAATATTATTGAAAAGTTTGTTCATAAATATTTGAGGACTAGTATACTTACCTTAAGTTTTTTTAAGCTTCATAAAACCTGTATTTTTACTTAGAATATTTATAATAGTTTTTTTTATTTTTCTTAAATATTTCATATCCTTATATATTAGGTGCTTATGAGTCCCTGTTGAGTGATGAAAGCTTATCTCCGGATGTCCTAGATGATCTGCCTCCTGCAAAATCTATAGACAGTGCATCCTGCCGTCCAAAGTCTCGTTACAAAAATAGGTACACTCTTCGTTTCTCAATAAATATGAAAGTTTATTTTTTTTATTTAATATTGCCACTAAAAACCAAATGTCAAATTCTATTTTTTGTTTTACTTTTTTGTACTTCTAACCAATTGACCAAAATTTTCCTTTACGAAACTTTAATGCGAGCCATTCATTCCTTTATGCCTCTAAAGCAGTGACTATGAACACAAAAGATGAAGTGATGCTTGCTAGATTTGAAAGAAAAATATTGAGAAATATATTTGGAGGTCTTAGAATATTATTGGAGAGGAAACACGAGCTCCGAAATCTATAAATTATTTAAAGATCCAGACATGCTTAAATTTTTAGCTATACATAGGTTTAAATGGGCAGGATACTTAATAATATTGGAGGATGTTTGAGCCACTAAAAAGATCCTGTCCAAACCATTTAGTATCTGGAAAAACAAAACAAAAGGTGGATTAACTATATGAAAATAGTCATTAAAACTATTAGAAAAACTAACTGGAAAACCTCAATCAGGAACAAAACAGCATGGAATAAAATTCTAAAGAAGGCTAGGGCCCACCTATCCTTCTTCAGTGAATCCTGGCAGTTAGGAAGAATCCATTAGCATAAAAATTTATATCCATTGAAGGAATTGAGAAGTAATGGAATGTGTGTTGCAGTCGATATACGTGTCGTCGGCTTCTGAAGATTTTCAGCCATGCAATTTTATTCCAAAGGTCCAATATTCCCATTGAATAGTGAGGAGTAAATAACTCCTAGAAGTTTAATAAAGCCCATTTGTAATGCATTTTAGTAGACACTGTAGCATTCAAATTCAGAACTTCCGGAACATTTATTTTTACTTCCGAAACATCCCGCAGGTCGCCCCAATAAGAAAAAAAAGAAATGATTACCCAACCAGTTGTTTAATTTAATGTTCTTTAAATTGGATAATTCCGAAATTCAAAGGTTGAAATTTGCTGGAAAATATTTCTTTCATAAGTTTTAAAATTTAAGCTCTCATACTTCCTTTAACCACCATTCCCGTACTTTTGTCCACCCCACCACCGATCTAATTTTGACTCAAGGGGGGAAATTCCTTCTCACAGCCTAAAGAACTCTAAGATAGAATTGAAAGAACGTAAAAAAGAACTACAAACAGCTAATAAATAAGTTTCTTATTTTTTAAGGAGAAAAATAAAAGAAAACTCAGAAAAAGTTTGCAAGCTCTGTGGACAAAAAAAATGATTTTGATCTTCTAAAGGAATGTATAAAGAGGGATTTTCCTTAAAAGGGTAGCGTAATATCCAGGATTATTTAACATTATCGGCGTAGGCAATTTTCACAGACCAGCAGAAAATTATGTAGGAAATGAGGTAACCTACCAAACAGACGACTTAAAACCAAGACTCCACTGTGTGTATATATAAACTTCAAATTTTGACTTCTTAAGTCTGTTTGGGATACAGTAGTGTGCTTAATGTGATCGATCATTTTGAGGCACAATGGTTTTGATGACATTAAATAAATCACAAAATATGATCCTTTTAAAAATTTAAGCCCCATCAACTGAGTTTGAAAATAAATTGTAAACAAATATACCTTATATCTATATGCTGTTATATTTCCTTAAAAATATAAAAATTGTACTAATTTTAAAAAAAAATCATTAATTGTTGTTTGTCTATGAAATCTATGTCTTTTAAAATCATGGAGCAATATTGTGTTCCAATAAAGGATCTGATATCTGAAATGGTTTGTCATATCTAAAAACAGGATCGTAAAATCTGAAAAAAATTTCTTCAGTTTCTTGGTCAACTTTCTGAGATTTGCAGGGCATATTTGCCATTTGGATGCAATTTGCTCCACATATAAAATTTTCAAACATAAACAACTTGGTAATAGAGCTAGAAGATGCCTGAAACATTGATGCTTCAACTCCATTAAAGCAAATTTTAAAGCAATGATGGTATTGAACTTGTATGATCAGGTAACAGAGAGAAATGCACTAAGAAATGTTCTGGAGAGGTCCATGGCTACCCTGTGCTGTTGTACCAATGAAAATGATTTTAAGTTATTTAGAAATCTTGGGTATAAATTCAATTTGGACAATTCTTAAATTATTTCCACCCCAGTCACATCAGCTCAACTTGATGCTCTGGAATATTGTTTTATTCATATAAGTATGAATTCCCTTGTTAATGAAATTAGTTCTTCATCACTTCTCCATGACATGTGAATATGCATTTTACCATCATTTGCGCCTCTCGGACACTGTGGTTTTTCTTGTACTGTTTCACATCTTTTTTTCTTCTCTCTGATACTGTGGTTTTTTCTAGTTTTTTTCTCATTCATGTCTGGCAAGTTTTGAAAATAGGCTCCTGTATTTGAATGCTTGAAATATGTCACCTGTTATTTCCAATTTCTATTTTTTTTGAAGCGAAAGTTTTTAATCAAGTAATATAGGTTTTGGTGTTTGAGTTGTGTTAAAACATAATGTGAGTTCGATCCCCACTGGCCAAAGACTTCCCGTATAGTAAATGGTGACTGTTGCACGTTAAATCAGTTGGGTCACATAGTCCTTCATATTCTCATAACAAATCATACCTCTGGGAGTTCTGAATTGGAGAATGAGAGGAATGATGGGAGTTCTGAATCATTCTCTGGTTCAGGTCAAAATTATGATCTGTGGATGTATGAATGGGTCTGCCCTATAAACAGGCACTGACGTGTGTGTGGCTAAAGTTGTATTCTTGGCCATAGATGGCGCCACCGATAAAATGAAACTTATCCTCTGCCTTAAATTCGCTTGGTTTCACCAAGCAGGTTTGCTGGCATTGGCAAGTGGCATTAGAAACAACAAAAACATAATGTTGTATTCTTTAAAAAAATAAAACATATGTTTTCTTTTCCTTGTTCTTTAAAAAAATATTTTGAAATTGAACTGTGCTATATTTTTATATTTTTTAGAATACCTGGGCCTGAACAATGATGTGCTGTTTTGAGCCATTCTAAAGTATCAAGCAATTATAATCATATTTTGACCAGTGCAATTATCATATTTATGCATTTGAACATAGACACATTTTTTCATAAAATCAAAAGCTGTTTTTTTTTTACTTAATTTTTGCATATTATTTATTTGTATTTAAATGGCTTTTTACATATATATATTTAAATTATTATTTATTTATTGATAATTTAATAAATGTTATATAGAAATCTTTTTGTCAGTTATTGCCATATTTCGTCATTGCTGTTGCTTTTTACTTGAGTATTGGTTGCTATGTTATATTTTTATGAAATGTTTTTCCTAAGTGTTTTATGAAGGTCTGCCCACCCTGCTAGCCTCAATAAATGTGCCCTCTTTGTAAGAATAAGCCGCCATCCCTTAAAAGAACTGCCTATTAATTCAGATTCGATTTTGAAGAAAATTAATTCACTTTTTAAATTATAATTACACATTGGTAAAATTATCTGTGTTTATAGGTTAAATTCCGATTACTATTGCAAATATTTACTTTGTTACGATTATTCTCAACTCGCTAAATTTTTGTAAGTAATTTTAAATACCTTTTTTTTAAAAAAGAGAAAACGCACCTTTAAAAGTTCATTTTATCAGTGCCCTGCCCATTTTAATTTTTAGGGAAAACTTTTGTTTCTTGTATTAAATGTTTTACATGTTTTAAAATTTTCTTCAACTTTATTTTTCACTTTCAAACTTCTAAGAAGTTTATTTTAATTTTTATTATTACTGGAAAAACAATGTTTTTAACCATTACGATTTCAAGATTATGGTCTTCTGATTGACTAATAAAATTACTATTATTGATAATTTATGTAAGAGTTTGTTTCAAATAAAAAATTACTATTATTGATAATTTATGTAAGAGTTTGTTTCAAATAAGTTTTTGTTTCCATTGGCCATCAAGAGTTATGGAATTTTGTTGTTTGCAATTAATGGAAAAAAACGATATGATAGGAATGAAATAGAAAAGAAGGAAAGAAATCTCTGTTTTCCCCTTTCGAATACGCTATTCTAAAACGTCTCTCCTTACAGAAATCAAAAGAAAATAAACTGAAATTTGAAATGCTGTGAGCAGAACTTTATAGCATTTAAAATGGAGGATGCTAAAAAGACAACGGGGGCTAGTTCTATTTTAAACAAAAACAAGAACATTGATTCCATGTAATCAATAAAATTTTATTTTATAATGATGTATGAAATTTCAGTTTTGCATAATTTTTTAATTTAATACCATCAGCTAGGTGTTATTCTCTTTATTTTAAAATAGTAAATTCATGCTTAATTTCCTAAATATTTGAATTACCTTTATAGAATTAAGTAGTAATATATACACCTTTAAATTGCGCTAATTTTAATTTCCTAATCGCTAACTGTGTATATTTCTGTGCTGTTGTACTTCTAGGTATTGATACCTAGTTTGGTAATTGGCATGTTTGGTATTTTTGATCTTCATAATATGGAACACGTTGCAATAATGTGAAAAATATGTTCTCAATAGTTCATCCGAGCGAACGTCAAGTGTCCCATAATGAGTGCTTGGGGAACGCTGGCATCGAATTTTTGAGGGGGACTAAATTAAAATTCATGGTCACATTATTTCTTTAAATTTCCCTCTTCAAATAATTATTATTTAATTTGTTAAACCACTTAAAACAATAAATTTCTTTCTTGCTTTCTACCTTTCATAAGTTCATATGAATAATCATTCGTGAAAATTTTCGTTATTTGTCTGAAATATTAGAGGGGACTTGAAAAGATTTCTAATTAGTGAGACTGTCCGATCCCCTGCAAACGACGCCCATGCTCAGGTGACTTCTAGTGAGGTGACCAGGTTTGAATCCCAACAGTGGCTGATTAATAGGAAGTCTGCTCCAGGCTCACACCGTTCTCGGCGCTGATGAAAATAATCTTCAGTAGTAGACGGACCATGGGTTAAAAACCCCTGTTACCGGACTTAGTGTAAGGAGATTTCATGGTTTTCCTCTTCATGTAATGTGAATGCGGGTTGGTTCCGTCGAAAAAAGTCCTCCATAGAGGCTAGTTTGTCCCAATTATGGATCCCTGAATCAAGGAGTTCCATTGTCTTCTACAGGTGCACTATGAAATTCGATATGAAATCTTAATTATCAGGTGATACTATGCAGCTTTATTGTTTTTACGTTACTGAAACCAGTTTGCAGTTGTATGCGTTTGTGTATCAATTGGTTGAATTAGTCGATAGATAATATAAATTCGACAATCGGATAAATTAGACGATGTAGTATATAATTATAGAAAACTTATTATATCAGGTATTATACTAGTATATTATAATATATAGACCAAATTATTCGACGCACTGTAGTGTTTAAATAATTGCATGCTTTGAATGAGTTTATATGCAATTCTTTCATATTTAAACATACATGTAATGGGTTTTTATTCAGGAGATTTTTTTTCTATACTTCCTATGTGTATTTATTTTTAACATACTGCATTACAATGATAACCAACTGATACACGAACATAAACAAGTGTAAACCAGTTTTAGTCGCGTAAAAACATTAATGTTGTATAGTATCTCTTGATAATTAAGAATTTAAATAAAATCTTATAGTGCGTCTAATAATGTGACTAGGGACTGAAGGTTGGGTTCAAAATTGCATAGCTATAGAGTTGAACATTGATAGTCATTAACTCAGAATTGGGTCAGCTATTCAATGCTGGTTATAAAATAAAATGCCCCATGATATTTAAAAAAAAATACATAAAAATGTACATGCAAGTAATGAGAGAGTTATGTGCAGATAAATTTATTTTTTACATAGAATATAGTGTATAAATATTTACAGACTAGTAGAGGCATCTAAATAGGTCATAGAATAGTGTTTAGAATCCATGTGTCGTAGGAGGTCGATTTTCCTCTGGAATGTTCTACTGCAGACACCGCAGGGGAAAGGCTTGAATCCAGAATGTTTACGACTGTGAGTGATGAGGTTCGAAGATTGACTGAAAGCTTTGCCACAAACTTCACACTTATGTGGTTTTTCACCTGCAAGTTGAAGAAAAAAAATTTCTTAGTATATTCAAAGAAGGTTTTTTGATTAAAAGTTCTAAAGGCTGTTCAAAATAGTATGATATGTTTCATATCAAACCCAGTTAAGTTTTTCTTTTAATTGTACTTAAGAAAACTATTCTAAAAAGTCTCTTTTATTATTGAAGTATAGTTCAATATAAAATTCCAGAAAATCTCCTATAATTTAATCAATAAGAAATTCCAGGAGATCTCCTATAATTGAATCAATAAGAAATTCCAGGAGATCTCCTATAATTGAATCAAATGCATCTAATTATTGATCCAAAAAAGTATTTTAAGAAGTCTCTTTGATTATTGTTTCGTATTAATTACATCAAGGAAATAGAAGTCATAATAATTGTATCATATATAATACAATTATTATATATGATGCAATTAGTGTGACTCAGATTTCTTTGCAGTTAAGGTTTTCTTTTAATTCTATATAAAAAATATTCTGGAAAGCCTCTTGAAGTATAGTTCAATATAAAATTCCAGAAAATCTCCTATAATTGAATCAAATGCATCTAACTATTTTCTAATCATTGAACCAAAGAAGTATTTCAGGAAGTCTGTTTATTATTGTTTCATAACAATTACATCAAAGAAATATAAGTCATAATAATTGTATCTTATATTCTTATCAAATTAAATTATAGCAATTGAATCAAAGAAATATTGTATCTTAATAATTAAATTATAACCCTTGAAGTATTTTTTAAAAAAAACCAAAAAGTATTCTAGAATGTCTCTTTTTTAAAATCCACCCTACATTTTCTTTTACTTAAATTTTCGTGATGACTTTTAAAAAACATAATGCTAAAATGGCTGTTCTTTCGTTGTGTTGAAATAGTGTGCATATGTTATAACTAAAATTTACTATCATGCTCTTCATGTTTTAAAATCATTGAATTAGAAAAATTTGCAACCAGCCCTTTTCTAAAATTAAAAATTTAGAAATAATTCTTAAAATCTTCTATTCACAAAGCTAAAAGCTTTTTTTTTTTAATAAAGAAATTAATAAAAGTTAATCACTTTTTCTTATTTTTTAGTATAAAGGGTTACAAAGATATAGTAGAATATGAAAGGAACTCTTCTAGAAAATAGCTAATTGCAAAGAAACAAAAAAGTTAGCTTTTTTAAAAAGTGAGTTGAGTTAATTTGAATCGAATCGCCTCAAATATTTAAACAGAATCCTAGAATATTTGAGAGATCTAGTTTCGCATTGAATATTTGAAATTATTTTATAAATGTTGCTTTACCTGTGTGTATGTAGGTGTGCTTTTTCATGTCTGACTTTTGGTGGAAACTCTTCCCGCAGTAGGTGCAGGGGTAGGGCCTAATGTTCAGGTGGATCAGAAGATGGGTTGACAGCGTAGAGGATCGCTTGAAGGACTTTCCACACTGCTTACAAGTGAATATCTTGGAACCCACTGAAGGTGGATGTTCGTTTCTTTTTTGTCCGCCGTCATTCTCCTAAGAAGAAATGAAATATCGTTTCAGAGCTGTGGATTTTCTGGACTCCGAAAGCTATTACGAAAATGAAATGCGTGCGTTTCTCTGCTAATACAAAACAATTATAAATTATTGAGCGAACTATTTTTTTTTAATGAACTGCCTTTATATTCATAAATTCCGAAGCCAAGTATAATTAGTTCAATGACTAGTAGTTGGCTATTTATTTAATTCTGGACAAGACCGTGGGAAGCATACTTCTCAACAAAATCATTAATTTTTAAATGTTGATGGGAAGTAGTCTTCTCACTTTTAGTTTGTGCTGCCATCTATGGATAACTTCGTAAAATAATAAAATTCTAATGAAGGGCTTTAACATAAATGTGGATTACAGTAAAAGTTACATGGAGTCAGGAAGAGAAGTAAACACTGAACTGTGAAGTCATTTTCTCTTGTGTGTTTTCTCTTGTGTCTCTTGTCCTTTAATTTAACAGAGTTTAAAAAAACATATAGTTTGAAAAAAAAGTTTTTATTTTAAAAGCAAAATAGAACCTCTTTATTTTTATTTAACTTAACACAGAGTCACGGTGGCTCAGCGGATAGAGCATTCGCCTTAAAATGGGGTGAACCAGGTTCGAATCTCAGCTGTGGCTGGCTGATACGAGTTCTACACCCGGCTCGTACCGACCACAGTGCTGACGTAAAATATCCTTAGTGGTAGATGACTCATGGGTTTGGACCTCTTTGCCTCTGGGTTAACCGTAGGAGGATTGTGTGGTTTTCCTCAATATGTAACGCAAATGCGGTTTAGTTCCATCAAAAAGTTTTGCCCAATGCTTGATTCAGGAATTTCCTTGTTTTATGGGTTGGGTTCAAAATGACAAGACTACGGAGTTGAACATTGATAGTCGTAAACTCAAAATTGGATTGGCTGTTCAACACCGTAAATTAAATAAAATGAAAATTACTTAAAACTCTTTCGGAAATGTTTTATAACATATTAATTGGTTTACATTTATATTAAAGTAAAGCATGCATTGATAAAAACGGTCATCGGTAACTTTAAATTGTATTTTTGCTAGAAAACTTGTTCCTTTCTCGTTTGCTGAATCTATTTAATGTTTTACAATTTCTCTTACCGTCAGGGTAACCCATGAAAGGTTATCGTCTTTTTTCTTTCTTCCTATTTATGTTACATAAATACGGAAATTTTTTTTTACTTATCTATAAGTCGCTTCTAGAAATTACTTTATCATTTTTGAAGCCCAAAATTACTTGAATATGAAGAGAGAATTGTAACAATAAAAGACAGCAAATTCGCTTTTATAAATCTTTTGTTTTTAATTTTGGTTACAAGTTATACGATAAAATTTCTCAGTGTGTGTCGTGAAGTGAAAGAGATTGTACAAAGATAAATCTCATTGCTCATAAATTATTTTTATAGTTATTAGATGTTAAAAATTAAACCCCGATAGTTAAAACATTTTTCATCTAATAAATCGTTATTTTGTCAAAATGTTTTAAAAAATATCCGACGTTTTACAGAAACTTCATTATGCTATTGAAAGTTTAAGTGAATCAAACGATGAATTAATTTATTATTAAATCCATTATTAGTAGATGTCTGCATTTCTTAGCAAACTTTTACATCATTCATTCTATATCAGAACAGTCATTCACATTTCTTTTAAAAAAATAAAAATAAATAAAATTTAGTTTATTAAAAAATATGAAAATAAAAAGCATATTTTTATATGTAGGCACACTATAAATCTCTTTGACGATATTTTCGATAGAAAATTACATAATTTTCATATCGTTTTCCATAACCTGGTCGGGTACTGGAAGTAATAAATCCAAATTTTTACCGAGTACCCAGATCCGGCCGAAGGTGTAAGTTTCTATTTCCGCCGGGTACCCGGCTCCGATACATCTCTAAATGAGTTCATATTTTTAAAATCAATCTTAACCACATAGAGGCTTGGTGGCTCGGGGGATAGAGCGGTCGCCTTCCAATGAGGTGAACCGGGTTCGAATTCCAGCGATGGCTAGTCAATATGAATTCCGCACCCGACTCACACCGACAACAGTGCTAACGTAAAATACCCTCAGTGGTAGACGGATTATGGGTTAGAGTCCCCTTGGCGTAAGGCTAACCATGGGAGATTTTCGTGGTTTTCCTCTCCACGTAGCACAATGCGGGGAAGTTTCATCACGATGGCAAATTTTCTCCACTATTTGATCCAGAAAGAACAAAATTTTCCCCACTATTTTGTATGAATCAGGCTTAAAATATGGATGCAAAAGTTAGAAACGCATATGAACTGCTTGCAAGGCACTGTCATCATAACCCAAAAGGACTTAAAATTCGGTACTATTCTGATTCGTATTCATCCTCCCTAAAGCCGTTTTTTTTTTCTGAGTGCGAAAAAAAATTCCAGTATATGGTGTGCTCTACACTAGGGAGCGCTGCAAGCTCCTTACTGCCTATAGTTCAGGGTTACTGGTTTTGGCGCGTCTTGTAGCCATTTGGTTCACAATATGATCATTGTGTTTTGGGACTCTCTTGAGTAGTATTTCTCGTACACGTGTATTTGTTAACCTTGTGTATAAAAGAAGAATCGTTATAAGAATCGCCATTTCAAGACCTTCCATTTCAAGACCTAAGAATTGTCATTTGAAGAACGAATCGTTATAAAACACTTCTTACCTTGTTAACAATATACCAATTTGGAAATTTAAACCTAAATGATAATTTGTAAAATGAACTTAATCTCGCTGCTCGAACAATAAGCTAACACTAACGCATGATGGTGCACGGCTTGCAACAAGAAAAAACAGTAATAAACAAGAGAAACCAAACCAGGAAAAGCGATTTCTTTCTAAATCTAGCAACTATGTCACCTTTTTTAATAAAACTAAAACAAAATTTAAACTTCAAACTCACCAGAATTACTTAATATAATTGATTTCTTATGAAAACAACATAATTGAGCTCAGAAACTATATAATTTCTTTCTTTTATTAAAAATAACATTATTTGTTTGAAAATATCGTCTCGCAGAAGTAATAAGCAGCTGTATACTTTCTAACCGGAAATAGAGCAGGTCAAGAGATCGAGATCTTTGTTTACATTTATATTGAAAACACCATATATTTTTTAGAGTAAACGACATTTTTTTTATAAAACGGCCTTGACAATAAAAAGTTTAATTATCACATCAATATTTCTATAACGAAATGAAGCAAAGATACTCACCAGCTTCTGAGGAAATAATTGTTTTGACTTATTTTCAATATTATCCACATTCGTCACCTGTTTTACTATTTGATTTATTGGCAACAGCGGCTTTAAAGTTGAAGTCGTTTTCGTGCTAGACGCATTTTTGATTTTATTTAATTCCATTTTTCTCAGAGGAGGAGGCGTTCTGTCTAACATATGTCGTCTTTTGATTTCAAGAGACGAATTATTCACAGCAGGCCTTTTCAGAGATTTTTCGATAGGACTAGATTCCACGATGCATTGTGTGCACATTCTATTCGAAATAGAAAATCGTTTGCTGCTTATTTCACCACAGCGGTCACATTTTAAATTGTAAAGTGGAACTGTTTCATTGTTTTTATCCAAATCAAAATCTGTAGGCCTCCATATAAGGTTTTTGTAATGGCTTGCTTCTTTCTGCGCCGTCGTGGTTGCTAAAAGGTATTGTTCCAGTGAGCCAGCGGATTGCAAATGTTGATTTCTCCAGTAGGGCAGTAATGGATTTGTAAAAGAAGTGTGTTGGTAAGGAAAAAAGAAAAATGGCATTCTTAAGAAATGTTTTATGTCTTCTTCATGACATAATGGATTTAATCTTTGCTGCAGAGAGATATTTCTGTAATCTTCCATTTGACTTTCCATTAGTTTTGGATTGCCTAAAAATAAATGATAGATTATAGATAGATTTCGGAGCAAGATGTATGCAGATAGATAGATAGGTTATAGATAGATTTCAGAGCAAGCTATAGATAGCTCGGATAGATTTTAGAGTAAGTTATAGATGGATCAGATAGATTTTTAAGCAAGATATAGGTAAATAGATATCGATGAATTTTGGAGGAAAAGAAATTTAAAAATTGCACTAAGTGGTGTAACTTTGAACCTGCAAAATATGAAAGATAAGATGTATTTATTTTTTGTTCCTGCATTTTCTCTTTGTATTAAATAATCGAAAGGGCAGTCACTGTATTTTATTTTATTTTAATTTTATTTTAGTATTTTATTTTAATCTAGGTAATCCGTCTATTTCGTTACGTTTAACAAAATGTCCTTAAATATAGCTGCAATAATTGTATATTTTGAAAACAAAATGTTACGTGTTTTTATAGAAAATATTGACGTTTCTAACCTATATATAAAAGTCAAATGCTATGTGTCACAGGATCCAATGAAATCGTTGACAATACGAATGTCTTACGCTTCAAATGCATCAACCAACCAATCAGGAATGTGAACGTTGTTAAATCAGAGACTATTGTTACTTTAATAAATATTTTCAAATACGAGCTGTAAATCTCTATCGAAAATAAAAACCGAATGGTCTAACACAGTTTCCCATTGTTTTCGTTTCATTTTTATTAGCCGCAAAATCACGGTAGGATCCAGTTTTCCCACATTAATTTCCATATGTTTTTGGTTGTCAATAGGACAAAATTAATAAAATCCATAAAGGTATTTTTTCCAATAAAATTATCCTTAATCTAGAGGTATTTGCTTTTGATATTTATTTTTCTTATTTTACTCTCCTTACGTTTTTGCTTTTGCTTAATCCTATGATATTTGCCTTAATACGCTACATTTTAAGATAGACTTATTTAAATCGGCGTCTAAATGTATTGAACTTTTTGCAATTATTATTTTTTGCTGCAAATTACATTAATATACTATTTTAAATCACTTTTAAGGAAATTCGATCAGCTTCGTGTACAATGTTATGCATGAGCAAATTGTATTTAATATATATAAAATATTGTACATAAAATAAATTGTATATAAAATACCTATGTTCGCAAACAGATTTTAATCGAATCGTCAGAGAAATGGCTCTTATATATATATATATA